CTCCATGGAGCCATATTCTGCAAGGCAAGCTTCAAGAGCCTCTTTGCGTCCACCTGGTAACCCATCAAGCATTGGCTCACCCTCAAAGCAAAGCAGCTTAGCCTTCATACGAAAGATGGTGATGTTGGCTTCTTTCCACAGCAGCCATAGCAAGCAGTGGCAGTCGGCGTGGTGCATGACAAAGCAACAAATCGCCAGACCACCTGCTGCTCAAGTGCTGACAACATCACAGCACACCTGAAATAAGAAAAGGCAGACGTACCCAAGCACAAACACGCACACACACACACACACACACACAGTACCCACAATCCGCGTTGGCTACACGGTTTGTCTTCCAATTGCCTGTCAGGGTTAAAAAGCTCTCATGATCTGATCCTCACACAGAAGTCAGAGTTGGATTTCTCATGATCATCATCTTTGCAATCTCCAGCACGAAGCCAAGTACCAACACGAAGCCCGCACCAGGAAACCACGCAAGAGCCCCGCCACACTATCAAAGCAAACGCTCTATGGAGCCATTTCCTGCAAGCCAAGCTTCAAGAGCCCTCTTTGCGTCCACCTGGTAACCCATCAAGCAACGGCTTACCCTCAAAGCAAAGCAGCTTAGCCTTCATACGAAAGATGGTGACGTTGGCTTCTTTCCACAGCAGCCATAGCAAGCCATGGCAGTCGGCGTGGTGCATGACAAAGCAACAAATCACCAGACCGCCTGCTGCTCAAGTGTTGACAACATCACAGCACACCTGAAATAAGAAAAGGCAGAAGTACCCAAGCACAAACACACACACACACACACAGTATCCACAATCCGCGTTGGCTACATGGTTTTTTTGCAATTGCCTGTCAGGGTTAAAAAGCTCGCATGATCTGATCCTCACACAGAAGTCAGAGTTGGATTTCTCATGATCATCATCTCTGCAATCTCCAGCAAGACGCCAAGTACCAACAAGAAGCCAAAACCGGCAAACCACGCAAGAACTCCGCCACACTATCCAAAAAGAAACGCTCTGTTGCGCCATTGAAAAGACAAATTTCCTGAGCCCTCTTTGCGTCCACCTGGTAACCCAAACAACTGCCCAGCCCCATACCAAAGCAGCTTCGTCTTCAAACGAAAGATGGTGATGTTGGCTTCTTTCCACAGCAGCCATAGCAAGCCATGGCAGTCGGCGTGGTGCATGACAAAGCAACTAATCACCAGACCACCTGCTGCTCAAGTGTTGACAACATCACAGCACACCTGAAATAAGAAAAGGCAGAAGTACCCAAGCACAAACACACACACACACACACAGTATCCACAATCCGCGTTGGCTACGTGGTTTGTCTTCCAAATGCCTGTCAGGGTTAAAAAGCTCTCATGATCTGATCCTCACACAGAAGTCAGAGTTGGATTTCTCATGATCATCATCTCTGCAATCTCCAGCAAGACGCCAAGTACCAACAAGAAGCCCAAACCGGCAAACCACGCAAGAACTCCGCCACACTATCCAAAAATACACGCTCTGTTGCGCCATTGAAAAGCCAAATTTCCTGAGCCCTGTTTGCGCACACCATAAAACCCAGCAAACAACTGCCCAGCCCCATACCAAAGCAGCTTCGTCTTCATACGAAAGATGGTGATGTTGGCTTCTTTCCACAGCAGCCATAGCACGCCATGGCAGTCGGCGTGGTGCATGACAAAGCAACTAATCACCAGACCACCTGCTGCTCAAGTGTTGACAACATCACAGCACACCTGAAATAAGAAAAGGCAGAAGTACCCAAGCACAAACACACACACACACACAGTATCCACAATCCGCGTTGGCTACATGGTTTGTCTTCCAATTGCCTGTCAGGGTTAAAAAGCTCTGATGATCTGATCCTCACACAGAAGTCAGAGTTGGATTTCTCATGATCATCATCTTTGCAATCTCCAGCAAGAAGCCAAGAACACGAAGCCAACACCAGGAAACCACGCAAGAGCCCCGCCACACTATCCAAAGAAGCACTCTATGGAGCCATTTCCTGCAAGCCAAGCTTCAAGAGCCCTCTTTGCGTCCACCTGGTAACCCATCAAGCAACGGCTCACCCTCAAAGCAAAGCAGCTTAGCCTTCATACGAAAGATGGTGATGTTGGCTTCTTTCCACAGCAGCCATAGCAAGCCATGGCAGTCGGCGTGGTGCATGACAAAGCAACAAATCACCAGACCGCCTGCTGCTCAAGTGTTGACAACATCACAGCACACCTGAAATAAGAAAAGGCAGAAGTACCCAAGCACAAACACACACACACACAGTATCCACAATCCGCGTTGGCTACATGGTTTGTCTTCCAATTGCCTGTCAGGGTTAAAAAGCTCTCATGATCTGATCCTCACACAGAAGTCAGAGTTGGATTTCTCATGATCATCATCTCTGCAATCTCCAGCAAGACGCCAAGTACCAACAAGAAGCCCAAACCGGCAAACCACGCAAGAACTCCGCCACACTATCCAACAAGAAACGCTCTGTTGCGCCATTGAAAAGCCAAATTTCCTGAGCCCTGTTTGCGCACACCATAAAACCCAGCAAACAACTGCCCAGCCCCGTACCAAAGCAGCTTCGTCTTCATACGAAAGATGGTGATGTTGGCTTGTTTCCACAGCAGCCATAGCAAGCCATGGCAGTCGGCGTGGTGCATGACAAAGCAACTAATCACCAGACCACCTGCTGCTCAAGTGTTGACAACATCACAGCACACCTGAAATGAGAAAAGGCAAAAGTACCCAAGCACAAACACACACACACAGTATCCACAATCCGCGTTGGCTACATGGTTTGTCTTCCAAATGCCTGTCAGGGTTAAAAAGCTCTCATGATCTGATCCTCACACAGAAGTCAGAGTTGGATTTCTCATGATCATCATCTTTGCAATCTCCAGCAAGAAGCCAAGTACCAACACGAAGCCCGCACCAGGAAACCACGCAAGAGCCCCGCCACACTATCAAAACAAACGCTCTATGGAGCCATTTCCTGCAAGCCAAGCTTCAAGAGCCCTCTTTGCGTCCACCTGGTAACCCATCAAGCAACGGCTCACCCTCAAAGCAAAGCAGCTTAGCCTTCATACGAAAGATGGTGATGTTGGCTTCTTTCCACAGCAGCCATAGCAAGCCATGGCAGTCGGCGTGGTGCATGACAAAGCAACTAATCACCAGACCACCTGCTGCTCAAGTGTTGACAACATCACAGCACACCTGAAATAAGAAAAGGCAGAAGTACCCAAGCACAAACACACACACACACAGTATCCACAATCCGCGTTGGCTACATGGTTTGTCTTTGCAATCTCCAGCAAGACGCCAAGTACCAACAAGAAGCCAACACCGGCAAACCACGCAAGAAATGCGCCACACTATCCAAAAAGAAACGCTCTGTTGCGCCATTGAAAAGCCCAACTTCCTGTTTGCGCACACCATAAAGCCCAGCAAACAACTGCCCAGCCCCATACCAAAGCAGCTTAGTCTTCATACGAAAGATGGTGATGTTGGCTTCTTTCCACAGCAGCCATAGCAAGCCATGGCAGTCGGCGTGGTGCATGACAAAGCAACTAATCACCAGACCACCTGCTGCTCAAGTGTTGACAACATCACAGCACACCTGAAATAAGAAAAGGCAGACGTACCCAAGCACAAACACACACACACACAGTATCCACAATCCGCGTTGGCTACACGGTTTGTCTTGCAGTTTACCTGTCAGGATTAAAACGCTCTTATGGTCTGATCCTCACGCAGAAGTCAGAGTTGGATTTCTCATGATCATCATCTTTGAAATCTCCAGCAAGAAGCCAAGTACCAACACGAAGCCAACACCAGGAAACCACGCAAGAGCCCCGCCACACTATCCAAAGAAGCACTCTATGGAGCCATTTCCTGCAAGCCAAGCTTCAAGAGCCCTCTTTGCGTCCACCTGGTAACCCATCAAGCAACGGCTCACCCTCAAAGCAAAGCAGCTTGGCCTTCATACGAAAGATGGTGATGTTGGCTTCTTTCCACAGCAGCCATAGCAAGCAGTGGCAGTCGGCGTGGTGCATGACAAAGCAACAAATCACCAGACCGCCTGCTGCTCAAGTGCTGACAACATCACAGCACACCTGAAATACGAAAAGGCAGACGTACCCAAGCACAAACACACACACACACAGTATCCACAATCCGCGTTGGCTACACGGTTTGTCTTGCAGTTTACCTGTCAGGGTTAAAAAGCTCTCATGATCTGATCCTCACACAGAAGTCAGAGTTGGATTTCTCATGATCATCATCTCTGCAAACATCTCCAGCAAGAAGCCAAGTACCAACAAGAAGCCCAAACCGGCAAACCGCGCAAGAGCCTCGCCACTCTATCCACAAAAAACGCTCTGTCGCCCCATTGCGACAGAGCGTTTGTCCTGCAAGTCAAGCTTCGAGAGCCGGTGCATGACAAAGCAACTAATCACCAGACCGCCTGCTGCTCAACTGACAACACATCTCAGCACAACTGAAGTGACAAAAGGCAGGAGTACCCAAGCACAAACATACACACACACAATATCCACAATCCGCTTTGGCTACACGGTTTGTCTTGCAGTTTACCTGTCAGGATTACAAAGCTCTTATGGTCTGATCCTCACACAGAAGTCAGAGTTGGATTTCTCATGATCATCATCTCTGCATACGTCTCCAGCAAAGAAGCTAAGTACCCACAACCGGCAAAACACAACAACTCGGCCATTCATTCTGAAACACTCTGTCGCGCCACGCTTCAAAGAGCCCTATATAGTTAAAGACAAGCACAAATAGCAGGGATTGCAAATCTCAATTTTCCCGCACGTTCATGCATAATTAAGTTCCCCATTCTTTCCAGAGATCATTCTTTCTGTTCGGAGAACCAGCCAAACCCCAATGGGAAACAGCTGGGTTGTTGAATGAGCCGACAAGCAAGAAGCCCCCTATATAGACAGCGTCTCAAAAGGGCGCTTTCGGATGCTGCCAGGAGGCCGCAAATGCCGGCCGCCACCTGTCCAGAAAAGCTTCACATCTCAGGTGATAAGCTAGTTTTCTTTTCGAGTACCCGAGTAGACTTCGTTGATTGAATGTCCTAGCTCCAAGAGTCATGGGAATGGCGATTCTTCAATCGCCTAAATCGAATGAGGTCGAACTGGCCAAAACCAAGGGCTCCAGAGTCCCCTTCAAGTCGGAAACCGCCTATATGTCCCAGCCATGTGGCCTTTTGAAAAACACACTCCTAAAAAACCATCAGCTTTGGTGAGGTACGACTTTTAAAGGTGCAACTCGAGATTCTTTGAACTTGGCACACACACAGAGAAATATAATATATATATATATGTGTTGTATATATATATATATATGTATATATATATATGTATGTATATATATATATAAGGGTGCGGATTTATTTTGGGATTTGCTTTTCGGATTTTTTGGGAATTGCTCATCCGGGCCAGTAAAATGTCGTATTTTACAGCATTGTCTTGCGAATTTGACGCATTTTACACTAGCCCGTCAACATCCCCAGCATTGTTTTCAACATCCCCCACATGTCCGACCAACTAAAAGTAGTCGGGGGGTTGGGGGGGGGGGGCGGCAGTCCCCCACATGATGTTCGCAGAAGTGATCATTCGAATGGAGTGCAATTCAATCTCTGCAAAAAGTCTAAAAAGGGGGGGGTTGGGGGGGGGCGGCAGCCCCCCCATGATGTTCGAAGAATTGATGATTCAACTAGGGGTGCAATTACATCTCTGTAGAAAATCTAAAACATAGCGGGGGGGTTGGGGGGGGTGGCAGCCCCCCCCATGATGTCGGAAGAAGTGATGATTCAAGTAGGGGTGCAATGATTCAAGAAATGCGATAGAATTTAAAAGGCAGCGGGAGGGTTGGCGGGGGTGGCTTCCCCTATGATGTTCGAAGAAGTGCATACATACAGACATGTGGATTACACAGATTACCTAAAATATCGTATTTTGCAGCATTTTCTCGCGAAATTGGACGCTCGAAAAAGTGATGATTCAAATAGGGGTGCAATTCAATCTCTGCAAGAAATCTAAAAAGTAGCGGGGGGGTTGGGGGGGGCGGCAGCCTCCCCCATGATGTTTGAAGAAGTGTTGATTTAAATAGGGGTGCAATTACTCTGCAAACAATCTAAACAGTAGCGGGTGAGTTGGGCGGGGGGGCTTCCCCCCCATGATGTTCGAAGAAGTGATGATTCAAATAGGGCGGAATTGGTGATGCTGATGATGCGGGAAGCCAAATCCAAAAACCAATGAAAGGGTGCAACAGCCAAAAAGGCCAGAGAGGAACTGTGAAAGCAGAGGATGCAAAAAGCCAAAGCCGCCAAAAGCCGCCGAAAGCCGCATAAACGCAAAAGCCAAAGCGCCACCTGCCGAAGAGGAACTGGGAATGCAGAGGATGCGAAAAGCCAAAGCCAAAAAGCCACCAAATGCCGCATAAACCACCAAAAAGCCGAAAAGCCCAGAAGCCAAGAAGCGAAAAAGCCAAGAAGCCAAGAAGCCGAAAAGCCAAGAAGCCAAGAAGCCAAAAAGCCAAGAAGCCAAGAAGCCAAGAAGCCCAAAGAAAAAGGAAAAAAAAAAACTAAAATAGATACCCCTCTCACCTCCTTACAACGGCCTGCCTTTTAGTAGTCATATTATGCCACTAGTTGCATGATTTGTGTAGAAGAAGGGGAGTCAGAGTATAGGAATCTGATCCCACCTTTGCAATGTACATCGAAGCACCCACGGTCTGTCATCGTACAGGTTTCAGCACTTCGAAGCGCCAAAACGTTGCAAACCTAAATGAGCATGTTGACCTCAAGAAACCTGGGTGAATTATAATATTTCACCAACCTGAAACTTGCGGTGGGTGGGGGGCGATTCCCCACATAAACCACCATTTGGGGTGAAATCGGTCGTGTGAGGTCGTTATACTTCACCCAGAGAAATGGACAACATGCTCAACTTTGCTAGGTCCTTCAGTCGTCAACGAGGAGTCGGGGAGCCTTGTGCTGCGTGGTGGTGTGCGCCGGCTGGCGGTGGTACAAGTCCCAGGTGAGCCCCGCAGGCTCCACCCCCTGACGATGTGGACAGGAAGGGCCGAGGTTCGGACCATGGGATGTGGGACTCACCCCTCTCACCCGTGGCTGAAGTTACAACTGGTCCATAGAACTGGTGTTGATAACTGGGGTTAGTCCCTTGGCAAGTTACATTTTTACATGGAGTCGTAAAAAGCGGATCCGACTTCAGCAATTCCTCAACTCCGCAATGCGAAGGAAAACCAGGGCGGGGGTTAAATAAGGGTGTGCGTATGGGTATCATAAATGGTGCACGCATGTTCAGGGGCACGTAATAATTATACATGTTGAGAAAATACCTCTCGCGGTTGCAACCCGTGACCCGAGTAGGTTACAGTACCAACCCACAAAACCGCACAAAACTCAACGGGCCTGCAAAGATTCGCCTGGGAAAAAGTCGACTGCGAGATCAATGGAAGGCCTTCCAAACGACGAAGTCTCCATTTTCTGGAGGCGAGGGTTCACAATTTCCTATCAAAGTGGGAACCAACCCCTTCCCACAAGCTTGGTGGACTTTTTTATGGAGCCCGTACCCCCCCCCCCTCCTTAACCCCCCTTACTTTAAGCTTGAAGGGCTTCTCTTGCAGGGGAGGCTTAGGAAGCCTTGCGGAAGCCTTGCGGAAGCCTTGCGGAAGCCTTGCGGAAGCCTTGCGGAAGCCTTGCGGAAGCCTTGCGGAAGCCTTGAGGAAGCTTGGCCTGACACTCGCCGTGCGCATGGCGGGAACACTAGGGAGGCTCTTGGGGAACAGTGAAAAGCTGATTGGACAAGAAATACCGCCCAAACATGCAAATTAGGTTGGGAAGGGACCCTTAGGGAAGCCTTAGGGAAGCCTTAGGGAAGCCTCAGGGGGAAGCCTTGAGGAAGCTATAGGGAAGCCCAGGGAAGCCTTAGGGAAGCCTTAGGGAAGCCTCAGGGAAGCCTAAGCGTGAGGGAAGCTGGAAACCGTAGAGAAGCCCTAGGGAAGCGCTAGGGAAGCCTTAGGAAACCTTGGGGAAGCATGTTTGCAGAAAGCTTAGGGGGACGCAGCACTTTCAGAAAGAGCAATTCGAATCTCTTATAAGTTCCCTAGGTCAGGGGGACGCAGCAAAGTAACGCAGCTCGACTCTCCGATCAAAATCAAGGTGTCTCTCAAGTTCAGCTTCGGAAGGCTTACCCTAGGGATAGGACCCAACTACCTTACGGGGGGTAGGGGGTAGGGGGGGTACAGGCATTCATAACTGTTATCCTGCGAGGACAAGACTTGGTCCGCATCTGGGGCATACGGAAAAAACACAAAAACAATGCTGTTTCTTATTTGGTCGACCTCACAACTAAAGGATTTTTGAAGGAGACCCCAGAGTAAAGGCTAAAAGGGATGAGTTGCTGCACTCATACCCAGGGCGATATTTCCATGGCCTGGGTGACGGTTGAGTTCAGCATCGGGAAGCCGCGCTGAGCGCAGGTGGCCACATCCGGCTGAAATCCCTCCTCGCTGCAAGCTCGGGGGGCTCGGGCCCAAGCATTCCCTCCGGATTGGTTTGGGATGGCTGGCTTGATCGGATTGGTGGCTTGGATTGGGGTACCGGATCCAAAAAGACAAGGGGGAAAATGATTTCTGGCGGCTTGGATGGATTGGTGCTTTGGATTGGTGGCTTGTATTGGTGGCTTGCATTGGTGGCTTGGACTGGTGCTTTGGAGCTGTTCCACGCGTCCTTTCTACAACATGGTGGGGGAACTAGGGGGTTCGAACAATTTGCGAGGATATGGGAAAGCTACCTGCAAGGGCCATTGGTGCATCCTGAGTTTCTGTTCAACATTAAACACTGCCAGCATGTGCCTCCCTAATTGAATATACACTGCATGGTATATATTTGGGCCCAACTCGCCTGGCCGAAATGGGCGCCCTTTCAGCTCTTGTTGGCATAGTAGACTGCGTGGGCCCTCACATTGTCAAGGAAGGTTCAATTGACTATGGATTGTGCTACAGTTATGTTGTCATTTGCTCAACTTGGAGGTGTGACTCGCAGAGTATATGGGAAGCTCCTGGTAGATGTGCAAAAAAAAACAGAAAGACTGCTGGGCAGATATTGGTGTTTGGTGCTCGGTGGTTTGGCCTGTTGGCTTCGTGTCGCAATGACTTCAAGCTTTCCCAAAGCGCAGCTGTTTAGACGTTTTCGATTGGAAGGTTATTGTGTTGCCTCATCTTTGGCTTGCTGTTGACTAGTCCTAGGTTCCTGTTGAAAGTCACCGAGAAGAAAATAAGGCTTCTTCTGTTGGCTCAGTGTTGAAGCTCACACAAGGGTATGGGTCAAAATTAAACCAGTAAGGGACCACGGGTTTTAGTCCTCGGTTCCATTTACCAGGATTGCATTTTGGGTACCTATTTTCGACCCACAGCCAAGGAAAAGGTTTTCTACGGCACATCGCTTGCACTCAAGTCCTTGTCAGAGCCCTCGAGGGCTGGACAAACGGCTGACGTGATGTTCTTTGAAGGTGTGTCTTTCTCGGGCGGACGACCTGACACAGAAATTTCTCAGGTCCAGGGCCAACTAACATGGCAACTGACAGGGGCTCCCTTCAAAAGGAAATGAATCTTCCAGGTACCTCCCTACAGGTGCCATGTTAGTTGGAGAAAGGGTATCCATCCAAGTTCCTGAACAGCTCTTTCAATGCATCGGAATGCGTCGTATGAAGGAATAAGCACACGTTCTTGGCTCAGTGCCAATGCATGACTTGGCCAAAATGCCAGTGCTCATGGTCATGATTCCAGTTCTTTATCAGAACCCTCCAAATTGGAATCCCTGTAAACGGGGTTGACTCCTAAACCCGTTTTGTATGGTGCACATCTGCCCACAATTGGTGGTTTTGGGTGTATCGGATCCAAATTACTAAACCACTCCTTTGCAGATCTAGAGGAATTTCTATTTTCAGGGATACCTTGTTGGGTTCCATGGTATTTTCTGGGCCTGGGGGAATAGTCCAAACCGCGAACTAGGGCCTAAAGTGGCACATGATCGTCTTAACACCATTTGGCTGTCCAAGTGGTTCTCCCGAGGGCATCCAAGCTAAGGTGGAACAAGTAGGGAAGCTATGGTGGAACTAGTATGGGAGCAAGGGAAACCCGGCAATTTACGGCAATTCAATGTGTGGTTGGATGACAAGTGGCTCACTTGTAGCTTGTAACATTTGGGGCATGATCATGACACGAACCTGCCAGCTGTTTTGCCAGGGGCCACGACTGTTCAATCCTTGTTCAAGCAAATAAGTATTACAAACAAACTCCGTAAAACCCGACGTTCCACAACTATGTAGGAAGGCAAAACGAAGGCTGTGATACCAAGCGCCCCTCGTCGCCCTAGTCCTCCAGGATGCCAGCCATGGACACGATCAGCTTCTTCCCCGCACCGAGGCAAACCTCTCGCCATGGACTTGCCAAATTGAAGCCAAGGATTATAAGTCTGAATCTGCCATATGGATGCGACCCCAACTTTGTAGTGGTTTCCTTTTGGTTTCCATTTCATTGCACTAAAGGGTAAACGCAACCTAAGTACGTAGCGAACCTCAACATGACAAAACATCAAAAGAGATCCCTGCGTTCACGGAACTCATGGACACCAAACTGCATAAGCCCCCTCGCCAAACCTTGCCGGACCCTGGAAACTGTGGACCCCCCTTCAGGACCTCCGCTTAGCTGCTGAAACAAAAATCGAGTGCCTCATGTTGCTCTTGCCGTTTGCATCACCTTACCCTGCTTGCTTGAAAGCTTGAACCACTGGTTCTTGCAGAGGGTGAATGCAAAACCACCAACCTCCAAACCAACCAAACCACCAATTAGACCTGAACAATATGTGCCTAGGTGCAAGAAACCTGTAGATCACTTGACATTGTGATCTGACACAGGGAACCCTGAACCCTGTCCGAGGGTTTGCCCTCACAGTTAAATTGTTCGGACCTGTGCTGTTTTGGCTTGCCTTTTGATCGAGCTGCTGTTGCTTTTGTATGTCTGTGTTCTTGCTTTTCTTTTTTTCTTTTTGCGGCGGCCGGGCACGCAGGGAAAAAGGGGAGATATCGGTTCTGCACAAATAGCGTCCGTTGTCTGCTTTTTATTTTCCATTCAAGGGGTCCAAAAATCCAGAGGCTCAACCACGCCCCCCTGGGCTACAAAGGTGCCCACATCTTTCCCCACCTTGCCTACATTTCATGAATGGGTGAATAAAGCGTATCTGCTCCATTCACCACTCGGAAAAGGCTTGCTCCAGAAGGCGGGGGTACTCCACAGGGATCCTTACATTATACAACTGAACATTTCCCTTTATTTGGGTGGAAAAGCCACGTTGTAAATGGTTGCAAAATGTATATCTTAAGGAGTCCTGCTCCATCTGCAAGCCCACTGGACAAAAATACATCCCTGAGCCGAATCGAAGCCGCCGGGATCTAGAAATTCACGTTTCGCCAGCAAAGGTCGATTGGCTCACAACGAAGTCTGGACAGAAACCACAAAAAGGCTTGATTCGCTTTTTGATTCGCTTTGGAATGAGCCAAGGGTATGTCAAAATTGAGATTTTTTTGGATTTCAGCTTTCCTCTCAATTTCCCTACAAACCCAGCCCAAAACGGGAACTTTGACCACCAAAGCGTCGCAGACTTTTCCCACGGCCGCGCCTCCCGACACTCGTCCTCGCCCGCTTTCACCAACTTCTGCTGTCCCCGCGGGCAGGTCTCACAGCACGCCTGGCCTGCGACCAAAAGTCAGCTGCGCGCGAAGCGCGGCTTGGGATTCTAGGTCATCCAGTAGAGAGGTTAGAATAAAGGTACCAACTTTTTCGGTAGTCTATTTTAGTAGGGGGTTCCCCTCCCCCAAAAAAAAGTTGGTAAAGCACCTAGCTGGGGGACCTAGGATTGGTGACTTGCCATTCGCCATTTGGATTGGTCCAACCGCAACCTTATGGCATGGAACAAGAAGCACCAAGAAGTCAGCTTTCCTCTAATTGGTGGTGTGGAGCCCGGTGGTTTGGTGGTTTGGACGGGTGATTTGCCATTTGGCCTCTACAAGAACCAAACAAATCAAATCCTCAAACCACCAATGAAAATATCACAACTAAGGGGAACCTGATGTGCTGGGTATGTGTCAAAATGAAGGATGTGCGCCGAGATGGTTGTTTCCCTTCAAACCAAAATTAAAAGGATATTGTTCTTCGGGTTTCTCCTGTACCGAAGCGATGGGCAAAAGTTGGCAAGTGTAGGTCCCTGTGGTTGCGCAAATGCCACATTCCCAAACCATCAACAAAACCGCAAGCACGGAGTGAAATTTGGTCCATGGCTTCAGGGGAAGCTAAGAAAGCCGGTGTCTGATTGCTTTTCAGCTCCTTGAAACACTTGGACCAGTAGTGCTTCGAAGGCTTTGCGACGTACGCCGCCAGGTCGCAAGGTCGCAAGGTGGTCCATGGTACCCTGGACCAAGATTGAGCGCCATCGCGGGTCCGCCAAGCGCTGCGACTCACCGTTGTCGTTGCCGGATCGACTCTCCGTTCATTTTGAAGATCTTGCTGAGCGGGGTGAGTTCCCGCTTGATGGAAGGGCAAACTGGCGCGCGGATCCCGACTTGCAGGGCGAAGTGCGTCGGGCTCGTCCGTGCGTCCACTGGACGCGTAACATCGCGGCCTCCACGAGGTCGATATGAATGGCTTGAACCGGGGTTGAACCGCAGGGGTTTGCTGGAGGGCCCGCTTTAGATAATGACTTATAGGCTTAGGCAAACAAGGGTAGTCCCGTTGTTTTGTTGGTGGTTTGAAATGCGAGGGAAACTGGTATTTGTAGGAATGGGGTGGAGCAAACCTGCTTACTTGCTGCGGGGTCTGCTCCCTTCTCTGTCCCAATGTACGCGTGGCGCCCAACAGCAGCTCAGCAACACCAAATTTGCCAAACAAATAAAGTCGAAGTTTGTGGTTGGGTGTCAAACAGGGCGGCTTGCATCTTTTGCAGGGTCCCAGCCACTTTGCAACAAATTCAGCTAATTGGTGATTTGGATTGGCGGTTTGGAGGTTCGGGGGTGGCTTCCCGCCTACCCGCTGCAAAGGTTCAAATCCGCAAGGCAAGCCATGAATTGGCACGAATTGGGGGTAACTTGACAGCGGTCGAAAGCTTCATAAACTCCCCTCACGTAAAGGTGTGGCCAATAAAAACCCATCCCTGTTTCTGGTGGGTTTATTTAAGCTGGACACCTGCCCAAAAACGAGACACCCAGCACAAAGGGCACAGAAGGTCTGACGGTCTGGCTGAAGGAGAATGATCTTTCGAGGGCTTACTACAAGCTTCACACCACCTTTTGGAGGTCCCATTTGAGACAGACCTCCAAACCCAAGCTGAACTGCGGGCCACAGGAGGGCTTTCAAACCCCGATGCACGAATGGCAATGATTGTGCCTCATGTCCTCCCCTCCAACATCCAATTCTGGGCAAGTCATTATAATTCAAACGGAAATGAGGAATGCGAAATCCCCAAGCAGAATCTTTGTCATGAGTGTCGTTTTACCCCCGAATCGCTGAACCCCTGATTCGTGCAAATGAATAACCTGTCATTCTAACAGAGATTCACCACGCGCACCTGTAGCACATCCTATGACACGGGCCGCCCTTTTCAGGAACCTCCTGACAGGGCCTCCTGAAAGACTGGACCAAAAGAAAAGGGGTCACCACCATGGGTAGACCAAAGGCACACCCAGTTCCGGATGGTTTAAACCACAAACGGAGCCAAAGGACAAGAATGTTGATGTTCAGCCTTTCCCGAATGAAGAAGTCCAGGATCAAACTAGGGCAGAGCAACCCACCCGAAGCATGCAACCAACTAGCAGCAAGTCTCTATCAACCGCACGTGTTTCCAAAATCGAAAACACAAAACTGCAAGATATATTGGTTGGCATCGTCTGGTTCCCAAGAACCGAAGGGGTCCTCAGCTCCAAACTTGCACATGCCAAATGCTTTTCTTCTCACTGAAGTGACGAATTGGCCCTTTGCTTCAAAAACGGGGTGGTGGTGACACGAATGTGATTGTCGCAGCCCTGGAAAGCTCCGGCATGGGAAGAAGGAAGGGCAACCAGTTCGTTGAATGCAAAGGGTCAGCTTCCCTCCAACTGGTGGCTTGAACTGGTGGCTGGGATATTTACCTTCTGCTACCCACCGACCCAAACCACTTGAAGAGCTCCTGAAAGGGAAGCCCTACCCAACAAACTTCAAGTGACAACCGTCCGCCACTGGGTTCAAATCTCCCGTCGATGCCTTGCTTTGCTCCGTGTCCGCTCAGCTGTGCGCCTGAGCACGCAGCGGTTTGGATGTCGAGCAACCGATCCACGCAAGTCACTTGAGGTGTATGGATATGTTCTCCGAAGCCACCAGCACTACCAATGTAGCGGGTCTTGGGGATGTTGAGGCCTGATTAATAGAAAGAACGGTTGTGCTGCAAAATCATTCAGTGCCCAACATGAAAAAGGGTACCTCAGAAAGCAGAACAGAAACATCCCAAGCTAAACACAACTTGGGTCAAGCAAGAAAAGAAAGCCAGAAACAAATTCCAGGCCTCACGCTGTTGTGCGTGTCAAAATACGGGGGTCCAAAGTCGTTTTCTTCAAAGCAGCCCAACCAAGGGTACCCTCAAAAAAAAAAACACACACACACACACCACATGTCTGGCTGGCCTCTCTGTCGCTGACCCAACTCAAATCAACTCTCAGCCCGGCTCCCGCGAAAGCTACTAAGGTACTAACCCTCCAAATAGTTGGTTTCCTCTCGGTCCATTCAATCCACCCAAAAGAGAACCAACTCAACAAAAAAACACAGGTACTGCAAGATCCCCCCAATCATTAGAATGGTGTTGCGGGGGCTCAAAAAATCCAAACTCAGATCCAGGACGCTCCGCCCCTTAGCCCTTGGGTGTCCACCCCATGCCCACTCAAACCCCGAAAAACCTGTCCGGGCCCACCACCCAGCTGCATGGCCGTGTCCAGCAAGTCAGGCCTTGCGGCGCTGACGACTCGGGAGGCTAAAGAAGCAGAGACTCGCTTGCTGAGTGGATGGCCCGAAAAAATGTAACCAAACTTTTCTCAGATTTACCACTAAAATGGTCTTCCCAAAAAGGTTAAAGTTCATGAACTCAGGAAGTGAGGACAAAAACATCCGAATCTCCAGCCCCTGGGCATTTAATATAACTTCCTTGGTTGGACATTTTCTTCTTTTCCAGGGTCAGGACTGTTGCCAGGGCTTCACCCTTGTGGCAGGGCCCTCAAAACCTTGCACGGCCTTGTGGACCAAACCTCCTCACCGAGGACACGGACTTTTCGCCAACCGAACTAGTAGGTTTAATTTCCGGAGCTCAAGGACTTTGAGTGCATCATCTTCAAGCTTTGGCACCCACAAAACAATTATCTACCTTTCATGGACTTGACGCCGAGCAAGCAAGGAACTCCCGTTGCTGCCCCCTACGAATTCACCAACGTCAGGACAACACAGCAACACAACGAAACCAGATTGCTCGACCTCCACTTCCACACTTAGCTTTGAAACGAACAGTCTCTTCTGGATGTTGAAAAATAAAAGAAACACACGACACAAACTCATGCAGCTGTCAAAAGCATTCTGCATGGCCATTTGCAGCCCCAAAATGGGCCTGAGTTTTTCAAAATTCGGGACCCTTTGGGTGGGGATCCATGTCCACCAACCACTTTGGAGGGGGTTCCCTATTGAAATTCATGGCCAAATGCCAAAAAAACAGATTCAGAAGAGACCTCTGATTTCCGGCCGGAAAGTCGATTGCTGGAGCCTGCGGAAGATGGCCAGGCTGAGCTGGCCCAGGAAGGGCAGGTCAACCTGCACTCAGCTTCACTGCTTCCCTCAAAGGGGTGGCTTTCCATTTACCCTCTGCAAGAACCATGGGTTCCAACCCCCAAACCACCAATCCCAACCGCCTAAGGGTATCCTGATTCAGTGTTTCCTCCAATAACTAAGGATTTGGGTTCCGCTGGTAGGGCCTGATGTGCCCTGCACTTCGCACTTAAGCGAGGACCATGCTTCTTTTGCAGAGTTTTTTTTTTTTTTAATTGCGTGGTTTCGGGGATGTTGCTCAGGGCCCTTCTAGACGGCTGTGCCTCTCCTTTTTTTAGAGGCCCCCCCAAAATGGCGTGGTTCCTCTTCTAGCTCTTCTAGTACAGAGGTTAGAATAAGGGTGCCCTTTATTCTGCAGTCTATTTTAGTAGGGGAACCGAATATCCCAACCAAAAAAAGTTGGGTGAGAGGTCGGGCCCCCCTGCTAAAAGTGAACTTAACTTTTAGTGGTTTAATACGGAAAACCCATGAAAGAAGGCAAAAGGATGTTCAGTCCTAACATCCCTTGGCAAAATGCACCAAAGAAACTTGTGGGGACGACGCGTCCGGCGGGTTGGCGTCGCCTCCTTGGAGCCGGCGGTGGCTGTAAAGCCGCTGCTTTCGCAGGGCCCCTCCTGGCGAGTCGGATGGAGACCGGGGGCAAGGAGACGAGAGAGGGCTGAAGTGCAGGTTGCCCAAGGAACAAACCCGTTTGGGAATGCTAAACCCATAGTTATGTTGAACCATTTTAAGGTTCTGATCCATGTTGGACCCATTTTAATGCTCGGATTCATGTTGACTTCAGAATCAACCCTTGTTGCTTCAGGGGGGGGTGGCCCCTCCAACAGTGATGATTTCCCACCGAACCCTGGGACACCCCCTATTAATGAACAGGGGTTGCTTCATATGGGGTCAGCATTACCCAAGGAACAAGCGCTTTTGGAAATGTGATTTGACAGAAAGAAAGGTCGCACCGAGTTGAAACCAGCAGCACTGACACGGAGAGTTCACTTCAGGGGGTCCAGTCTTAGTTGCGTGAACCGGTCGAACACACATTGGTTGAACCATTTTTCTTTCGCCGCCAGGACTGTCTTCAGTGGGTCCTGAACCCAAACAAAAGACGGCTTTGGGTGCCACTGGAATGGGTCAACCAAGAACTCCTCTTAGTTTCAGGCAAGCCGCTTCAGCATGCAACCCGGCTGAACCAGCATTTACAAGCGGGGGTAAGCCCGGATAAGCTACTGAATTGCGGCACGGCACACATGTGGGTGTGTGTCAAAGTGTCAAAGTAGGGGGACACCAAAATTCGGTGGCTTCCATTTGGTTTTCCACTCCCAAGAAGGGTACCCTCATGGATGTGGGGGCTGGATCGCCCGTCCTGCAGGCCAGCTAGCTCCTGTAGCCAGTCCGCATAGCCCTGATCCAGCTGCACCTCATGAAGAAAACACAGGCCCATGCTTTAGGTAAGAAGGTTCCGGTTAGCGGATGCATCCCAAAACCTGCTTTACCAGGGAATCCTCCAGATGGTAAAGCTGCTTTTTGCACTGGCCCAAATGTACCCCTCACTTCCTGAGTGGATGGGCCACAAAGGCAGACGTCTTGTGCTGTGCCACTAAAATGGTCTCCTCACAGGCAATGCTAAAGGGCAAGTATCACAACCACATCCTGCGATATACCTGCTACTTGGTTCTTCTGACAAAGATCTCACCTTTCCTTCTGCGCCTTGCTCAAGATGAGAACTGTCAATCAGGGCTGTACGTCCCCTGGAATAGCGCGGTTGGCTTCTGCATCCTGTAAGCCATAGTCAGAATGTGCGGTTCCAGGAAAGGACAGGGGAAAGTTGGGGCTCGTCCCTGGCAGGACATCTGGTGAGTGTCCCCCCCCTTCCCTTCCAAATATGCGCAGGCCGCAGATACTTTGACCGAACTTCAACAAAAAAACCGAGGGCAAATGTGGCAACATTGGCCCGCTGTGCCTGCGCGCACTCGATGCCAATCACCTTGTGCATGCTCATCGCCTGCTTGCTCCCCAAACACGTCTAGTGTAGTCTTCCTGGGGGTGCGTTTGGGCGGGTGGTATGGTTCCGAGATCCACCCGCCGGGGGGGGGGGGTGACAAAGGGACATTGCAAACTTCGTTCTGGTACTTGACCAAAACCATGTGCGCAGCTGGCAACATTCCCACCAGCCATACATGTACACATATGTAGATGTTTATTAACTATCTACATCTGCGAATTCTGTACATACGCATACGTGTACATATATATATATATATATATGTATATATATATTATATTATATTATATATATATTCATATTGTGTATGCATATGAAACCAATTCCCTGGCAGGTGTCGCTTTACCCCATACCCCGGTTGGTACCTCCAGGTTCCCTCTTGGATGGCATCTTCATAAGGGATTTCTGCCCACCATTTCTCCAAGGATTCCTCTGTCAATGTCATGGTCACTTCTTTGAGGGGCTGTCTTATGCTTGAGAAAAACTGCCCCCTGGATTTGCTTACAGCCTTGCGCCGAAAGTACACTCAACACGTTGCATGGCTTAAATCTATGAGTGCCTTCCACATTCTTTCCAGGAATCCTGCTTTCTAGAAAACCTCCAGAAACCCAACAGTTGGCATTTGAAAAGAACGAAGGTTGAAAAGAATGGGGAACCAACAACCAGATTGAAGCTGCACGTATACCAAAGGTCGGAAACGTTTGCCCTGCTCGACGAGTGGTTTACCTGCAAATTCTCCCCCCATGAAGCCCTCAGAATGCAATCAGCCCTTGAAGTCCCAGTACATTCGAATCGGAGTCTAGTTGGCCCTGCCAAATGCTGTGCCAATCACTCAAAGAGCCCGACAGGTTTTTAACAGTCCTCCCGTTTCAACCATCACCTTAGCCGCTACTAGCCGCTTTAAAGACAGTGAGGTATTTCTTTTGAAGTGAGGCGATGCTTGGGATCCTCTCCCATGAAGTGTGTCATATGCCCCACCTGGCCGACAGCGCCGGTCAGGCCGGTCAGGCCCATCAAGATGGCCTGGCCCAATTTGCCATGTTGTTCATTTGGCTGTGGGTCAAAAATCGGGAAACCCCCCAAAATGGGTTGCCCGATCGGTAAATAGGGTACCGTGGCTAAAATCTGCGGTCCAATTCCTGGTGGTTTCATTGACCCACACCCATCTACTTTTTGGGGAGGCCATTTTGCCCTTGCCCAAAGTGCCGCTTTGGGGGTGCTGCTCACGCTCGGACTCCACTCAGCCCATCAGGCCCGTAGGTTTGTGAACCTTGTAGACATCTCTCGCAACATGCGGGTGCCTCCTGTCGAGAGAGCGTCCAATTTGGAACAATCTAAGAGATTCCATTTTCTGTATGGTAACCAAGGGAACCGCCCGTTTAAGCTAAGAGGAAGACTGCTGGTTACCTACTAAGCTGGAAACTGGGATCCACTAGGCTAGGCTCCCCAAAAGAGCCTGCATGGGTGACAGCCTCCAGGTCGCTGCAATTGGCAACTTCTGTGGTCATCTGTAGTCATGCATACCTCGAGGCAGTTGCTCATAACTTATAATAATAAGCAGACCGAGCCCAGCGCTTCAGAACCACATGGTTGCGACCGACCTTTTCAGCCGGTTCATCGTCCAAGCGTCCTTCCACCCCGCCGGGCCTTCATCGCCATGGCAAACGCCCTTTTTGGCACTCAAACTGTGGATTCGTCGGCCCCTGTTCTCCCGTGGATGGCCGCGCTCCCATGAAATGTCCAACTGGCCACAGGAAAAAACACCCCCGTCGCGCGCGGGAATTGCTCGAGCCAACTGCGCCAAAGCACCGGGTTCCTGCTCTCAACAAACATCAGCTAAAAAAAACAAACAACTATCCATCTTGGTGCGGTATTGAAAGCACGCGACAAGGGAAATAGCGTCTGAACCCTATGACATGTGACTGTAGCTTTGTGGCCACTCAAAGAGGGATTGACAAGTGTGCAGCTTTTAACTGTCAATAAAGCCCAAGTGAATCCAGGAGCTGTTGCGTCCTATCATCGACCTCGGATGAACGGTTGAGAGGGAAGCCATTTTGAACCAAACTAACCCAAGCGAACACCTAGGCACTTTCCAAGGATCCTTCACAGCTCCTCGAAGCTTGTGCGAGTGCGTACGTCTCTCTCTCCAAAGGGCGTGCGTACTTTTGTTCTTTGCTCCTTAAGACCCAATTGCCTTGTTGGTTTCCGGTTGAACCTATCCCGAAAGGGTATGCCAACTCCTTTGGATCATGTCAACAACCGGCAAGAAACTGAATACTTTCTGGGGGTTCCTGAGTTTCACACATACCCACATGGGTCACTACTTCTTTGACCGGCAACGAATCTGGCCAAAGTTTACACCTCGCCCCACACAACCAAGTCCAAGCCTCCAATTCATACCCTCCATTCACATGGATTCACCCGAAGGTCCCAGTTCGAGGAAAAAATCTTCCAGGACGCCCCCCGTCAGGTTCTGTGCTAGTGGACAGGATGTCGAGCTGACTACCCAGGGCGTGGAAATGGTTTCTATGAGGTCCCCTAACATCTCCTTCACCGCGGTTGGAATTTATGACAACTAGTTGCTTTCTTGGGTTTGCTTCTCTTCACAAAAAAGAACACCGACATTGGGGTGTTGTTGTTATTTTTTTTACAAGAAAAACAAGACTTGCCCTTTGAGGGCCAGCTGGAGGATTCAGAGTTGACACCGAGCATGCGGTAGCCGGCGCCAGCTTCAGTCGCTGCAGTCAGCGCCCGCCAAAAAAAACAGGGCCCTTGCACCATTTGGCTGTGGCTCAAAAAACCGGTACCAAAATGGCTCGCCCTGGTAAGCAACATGGACTGCGTACCCACGCCTGTTTAATTTTGAGCCACACCCATTTGAAGTGTCCTCACCAAGCAGGTTTAGGTTAGACCTCCCCTTTTTCACGTCTGCAACTGGCTAGGTCCTCCAGTGGAGATGTTAGAATAAGGGTGCCAACTTTTTTCTGTAGTCTGTTATAGTAGGGGAACCCTCCCCTAAAAAGGGGTGAGAAAGGGCACTACTGAGGGACCTAGCTGGCAAGCTCAAACAGATTGAATTCTATTATCCTTTCCGATTCGAAGTGCGATTCAAACTGGGCTTGTCTTTCAATCGCAAGGTTCAAACCCGAAAGCGTGGGATAAGACTAAGGTTGACAGTTGAAGGTCAAAGGCTCAAAGGCCTCTGAAAATAGGTGGCCCAAGAAACATGGGGTCCGGGACCCCGGCAGACAACCATCCAAAAAACAAGAGCGCCGAATTCGGATTCTTAGTTTGGTGAAAGCCGCCCAAGCCAAGAGTACCACGCTCCGGTCCTTTCACTAGCGCCTCTCGGTCAGTGAGACGGCCGGCCACCAGGCCAGCGGACTCACTGGTCCAAAGACCCATTCAGATTCAGAAGGAACCACTCCCAGTGTTTGCCATGTTTCCCACGGGTTCGAGGTTCTTGAGCCTCATCACCGGCTCAGAAAATCAGTGGGCGATGAACAGGGTGTCTGGAATGAAGTCGCGGCTGGGGAGCAAACTCACCTGGGAGGCAACGGGGTTCACCTGGCTTGTTCAGCCCTCAAAGTCGGGATCTTGGGTCCCTAGGCTGAGCTGCAGTGGGGGGAAAGGGGGGTGGGGCGGGGAAAATCCGATCGAACAACCTACAAGGAAAACCACCAGCTGCCAGGATTACGGTTTGACTTTGAGCCCACTTGTTACAGGGACAGCTTAGACGGACATGGGTTGGGCAGGCGGGATTACCTAAGTTGAGTTACATGTGTCAAGGGCATGTAGTCTATCTAATGACAAAAGCAATCTTACTGGGTGTCGGACAAGGCGAGTCACGAAGAGCCGCTGGTTTGCTCAGTGTGCGCCCCTTCATGGAAACCCGCGCTGGTCTTGACAGTGTCAACTTTTATTTTATTTTTTATTGAAAATCCGGAATCAGGCCAGCATGCTTGAAGTCAACGTATCTACATATATCTACAGTGGACAGTAAAGCATGGTTCGTTTCCCCACGCCCTTTGTCACACCTGCATATATGCGTTGCGACAGTTCGAGTAGCCTAAGGGTTGAACATATTGAGCCGAAAACACTGGGAAGAAATAACATTGGCTTCAAAGAGGAAGCAAAAGGACCCCATATCAAAACTCTGCCCTTGGGGCTCGGTCGACTTGAGGCTTGGAGCAAGCCTGAAAGGGGTGAATCACCACCCCGCAAAACATGTCGCCAGCTACCCCAATCAACGCCGGCAACGGCCAGCGCACGCTCTGGGCGAATTAGGTGGTTGATTTCCCGTTCTTTCAGAACACCAGCCACCAGCCATGCCCCCTAGTACCCTTTGCCTTTTTGTTTTTCCTTCGCAGGAGGGTTCAAAGCACCTCCTTGGGTAAATACTTGGACCTGGGTTTCTGGGGAAGTTACTGAAAAAGAAGACATACCGGGATATTGGGGGAACCCCAGAGATAGGTGTCCTTTGAGTTCGTGAAAAACCGAATTTCCCGTGTTTCTGGTCCGAATCCCATTTCATGAGGGCCGCACCCCCCCCCTTTCCCCGGGATCAACAGCGATGTGTGGCCCAGGGGCTGCCGGGGTGAAGCTCAGGCGATCCTGGAGCTGCTGCTGGAGGTCTCGAAAGAGCGCCTCTCGAAATGCCCTGCCTGAAGTCCCCAGGGGCCCATGGAGCTGGACCCAGGCAGTGGCCACGTCAGGAGAAGAAGGGACAGGTGGAGCAGGTGGTGAGCCCTGCCTGGGAGTTTTCTCGGTGAAAGGTCATGGAGAGATATGGAGACAGCTGGGGCCACCCCTTGGGGTTTCGACTCCATGACCCATTGAGGGTCATGGAGACTCCAGGTTTCTGGCCTCTGGCGCCGGTTTTTAGGCCATGGTCCTTTTCATCTCAACCCAGCCCAAAGAGCCTCGAGAAACGATTTCCGTTTCAAAGTTTGTCTTGCCGAGGCCTTGCGTCGAAATAAGGGAACATCCATTGGACACCTAAGGAGTCGGGTTGAGTCAGACACCATTCCCAGTGATTCCCATGTTTCCCGTATAGCTGGCTACCCTTTAAAATACCCAAAGAACCCGTGGATCAAAGGGTTACCTACCAAAAACGCGGCTCGCCCGGGATCGGGGTTCGTTCACAGCAGTTCGGTTTCTCCATACAAGACATTTAGAGGCCTTGCACATCCCTTGGACCGTGGGCACATTGCAGAAGTTAAAAGGTTGCAACTGTCCCACAGATATATGGAACTAACCAGCTCTTCAGAAGATCCCGTGAGTCAGGGTCCACATTAGTTCGGGGCTTCACTGCATACGCGTGATCCTGGCAAAAGCTGGATACGCTTAACATTCACAAAGAAACCCGTGTTTGACCACCGGCCTCATTCCGAAGCTCCAAGCAAAACAGTTTCTGACGATTGGCCAGTTCCTGAACGCTTGGGAACTTCCGACGTTGACGTTTGGCCGCTTTCTGGGAAAGCCGAGTTGGGACCTCGAACCTGCTTGCGAACTTTGCGAGACAGCATGTTTGTCGTTTTTGATTTTGTCAGACAGCGCTTACATGTGTCACGTCCACTGCCGGGCTGTCGCCCAAATCAAAGAAACAACCACACCAATCATGTTGTGGGGCTTCGCTAGACGTTCCCTTTGTGCGGCGAGAACCAAAAGTAAACATCCTGCAAGAGCTCATGCCATGCACCCCTTATCTGACTTCTTGTTTGGCTTGAATGGCTACAAGTGTGTGTGTGTGTGTGTATATATATATATGTGTCAATACTCGACAATGTTACTACCAAAACCCTATTTGCCAATTCATATTACCCTAGTTGATACCCAATCTGAAAACCTAATACGAAATGAACAACACCAAACACCGGGCCCTGGCACCAGCAAAAGCGTGGCTCACATGGCCATTTATACCTCCAACCAACCTGGGCTGTCCTCAAATCCCCCGCTAGAAGCTTAACTTTAAGTGGGTTAAATGGATATCCCCACTAAACACAAAAGGCTAAACCGCTTTTTGGGATGGCTGGGCGCCACCAAGAAGCTAAGTTTGCTGAAGGTTGACCCCTTTTGGACCACGGAGAGTTCCAAAGAGCTTGGAGTCCGATATTGGCCCTGCCTGGCCAGCATCAGAGGGCACCTGGCATCCAATGCATCGATTCGGACAGATGCATCCAAAAATCAGTTTTCTCGTCCACTTCCACAAAAGGAAATCGGGAATCCTGTATCCTGTATAGAAAAGGAGTTGCAGTGGTCAGTGCACCTGTGGGGATCAAGCTCATTGCTTGTGTTGCGCCGGTCCATGTGTAGTGAACCGTGAGATGTAAAATATTAGTCGAAGAGAACCCCCAACTCCATCTGCCGGGGCAAAGTGACCGCTGCAAGCGAAAATGCCTTTTAGGGGGAAACCGTCCTAATTGGTGATTTTGCTACAAGAGGTCAAGCAAATCCTTTGGCACACTCCGATCTGCCGTGTCAAATCGGGCTGAAATAGCCTCAAGTCCGTGGTTTTCTGGGGCTTGCAATATTGCCAAAGTCTGGCCATCTTTGTCTGGCCCTCTGCACGCTCACCGCCGAAAGGTTTGCCGTTCATGTACTTGCGTGGCAAGAAACAGGAAACAGGAAACAACGCCTTGCACTCTGGCAGCAAATTTGGGAAATACTGCGGATGGACGAAACCCATTTCGCACCACCTAAGAAACCCTGGTTTCTAATTAATGATTCCCCTATGTAAATGCCAACAAACCGTGCTTTTTCATGGTTGCTTAGGTGGTGCGAAATGGATTTTGTTCATCCACACCAGTAGGTCCCTACCGCCGAGGATCCGATTTCCGCTGTGGGATGGCCCGTCTTGGGAACTGTTGTTTGAATTTGAAGGGGTTCATGGAAAAAACCAGCAAAAACCAAAGCAATTCAGGGAGTTTGACCCAAAAAGGAGTTTCTCAAAATAGTAGACTCCCTTTGGGTTGGTATTGAACACTATTTTAGGGGGGGCCGTATTCTGAGAAACACCCACATGAGCATGCGACAATATCACAGCCGGAGGGACCCAATTCCCTGATGTCGCCAAACGGGGAAGGAACCCAAACAAGCCAACACAAACTTCTGTGGGTGTGAATTTTCATTTGGGACCGTTTGGCGGGCATCATTTAATATAGAAGACTCATCATGGAAGAGGCCGGTCTTAATTTTCGTAGCCATATGATTTTCCTGCCCTTGTCTGTCAAGAGCTTGGTGTTCAATGCGGGTTGGGCAGTGAGTGGTGAATTGGTGATGGGGCAAAAAGTGAGTTCTGAATTGGTGCAGTTTGGACCTGCCGCGAAAGACCGTCCGTAACCTTTCTTGGCCCGCATCTAGGGGCACAGCAAAATTTTGCCTCATATATGTCGCCTGCCCCTGCAAAATAACATATGGCCATGGGTCAAAATCCCGTACCCGTGAACATCCCAATCCCCCCTAAAATAGACTACCCCAAAATGGTACCATTGGTTTTGACCCACAGCCATATGTTTGGAGGAGACTCAATTCCTCCCCCCCCCTGGACGGAGAGGCATTTCAACAAGGATCCTTACATTATACACCTGAACATTGCCTTGTAAATGGTGTTGTTTCCCTTTATTTTGGTGTTGAAAAAGCCACATGGTTTCAACTGGTGGCAAAATGCTTCAAATGTATCTTTTCCCCAAAAACAACGGGACTTCCCATGTTTCAACTGGTGGCAACATGGGCATTTCTTTTAAGGAGCCCTGTTCCAGAACCCTCGACCCAAAAAAGGGGTAAAAGGGCACTACTGGGGGGACCTAGCATATGCTTGGAGGAGACTCAATTCAACCCCCCCTTCCCTCCCCGGACGGAGAGAAGCCCGCGCCCTCTCCAGCTCTTTGGCCAGGCGGGAGGCGCGGCTGTGGAGGAAGTAGCTGGGGTCCTCTCCCGGCCCCTGGTGGGCGCCAGACATTTGTGACTTGGACAAAAACGAACTGCGGCTGTCCTTCTGGTTTCCCTCTAAGCCAACTTGAAAAGGGCCTCAAAACCAAACACATTTTTTGCAACAACTATTAGTTTTAATTGAAGGACAACCTCTTGTTGGCTTAAAGCTGGGTACAATTCTCCCCCAGCCCCGGCCCTGTCAGCTCGGTTGGAGATGTCCGGGCAGGTCCCAGATTTCCGGGGCGGTCGGCCTGTCGGAATATATTTTCTCCTCGGGCTGTGAGGCTTAACCCTCTTTCTGCATCTCCCGTTTGAGGAGGAAAAGGCCGCCCAGCTACTTGTTCAGAAACCGACCCCACGAGCCTTGAATTTGATCTTCTGTATCCGGCCCCGGTACCCCGGTAAGTCGCGGACAAAGGGGGCCGCTCAATGGATCCATTGACCCGCAAGTAACCACGGGAACTACCCTTTCAAAACCAAACGGAAATTCGGAACTCTGATGTATGCGGGCTCCCAAACAAGACCGGCTCAACCAAACCTATTGGACCCTAGACAGCAAAAGGGCGCATTGCAAAGCCGAGGATTGAGCCAAAGGGGCTTGCCGTCAGCCTTGCCGGGCAAAAAACACTGATCCCCATCCAATTGCTTAAGTTGTGTGGAACAAATCAAATCAACATATTTCCAGTAGTGATAGATTCCTGCGTGAATTATAATATTTCACCAACTTGAAACAAGGCGGTTAGGGGCCTATTCCCCACATAAACCACCATTTGGGGTGAATTCGGTCGTGTGAGGTCGTTATAATTCACCCAGATAGATTAAGAACGTCCCCTGATGAACCGTCCAACTTGTGGTTTCCCCCAGCAGATTTCTGGGGGATCCGAGATCTGTCTCGGACCCGGAAAGATGGGCGCCTCAAAAATCGGGTCCGAATTTTCACCTAGCACTTGAGTGAGGCGTGGTTTCCCGAAGAAAGCCTGAGCTCATCGCAACCGACTTGTTCACCCCACGAAATGAGCCACCGAGCAGCGCCAACGCCTTTCCTGCGAGAGGTTCAGGGACGCCAGCCAATCCCAGACCTTCCGTGGCCCGGGTGGGTCGGAGAGTGGGGCCACTTGGGGCGCTTGGCCATGTTCAGTGCCATGGATTTCGGAGAAAAAGCCCCCCGGCCTGGCAGTTGAAATGGACACCCAAAGGAAGGCCTGGCAGTTTTTGTTGGCCGATTCCCATCTTGAGAACAAAGAAACACCCATGGGACTCGGAAAAAGTGGCCATGGAACTCGGAAAAAGTGGCACCCATCCAACCGAGGGCAGCCGCGAAAGTGCCCGGACGAGTCCCCCAGTCTGTCAAAAGGTCTCTGGCCCCCGTGCTCAAGGCCTGGAGGTGGGAAGCATGGCGGGCTGGGACACCCAAGATCCGGGTACTCGCCAAGCTGTTCGTTGAGCAGGGTCTGCCTTTCGACTCACTTGTCCTCAGAATGGGGGGGGGGTTGTGTTCCCAGCAGGACCGACAAATGTTAGCGTTCCTTTTAAGCCACCCTGAAATCTTCTTATCTCCCATGAAGGCTCAAGCCTGACCTCCTCCCGGTCAACCGCAGGAATACTCCACTGATCCTATCAACTGCCCATAGATGATGACCTTCACAAACAGAATCACAACACAAAAGGACAGGCTCATCGTTGAGATGCTTGTGCTGCCCTTTTGTTAGTTCCTGAGTGGATGGGAAAGCACACACACAAACAAACTTGTGTTTGCCACTTGAAATGACCTTTGTAGAAAGTTTAGCGTCGAACATCGGCCTTTTGATTGCCAATTTGAAAGCAGGGTATTGCTCAAAGCGGACATAATGGGACCCCCTAGTCAATCCCGAAGCTTGAACATAGGAAGTCTGCCAGGCGGGACCCCTTGCTGCAACATGTTGAGGCCACCATTGCCACGGTTGCTTTGGGCTTCCAGGCTCCCTCGTCTTGGTTGCGGTTGACCCCTCGGCAAAAAGTTTACACTTTTTCTGGGTTTAATACGGAAAGCCCCTTGATTTCTCAAAAAGCTAAAGTCTAAAGATCCAACCCAATGGCAATCAAGTTGTTTGCTCTGTCAAGGGGACTATGCTTCCTCGGTTGCTTTCTGCTCCCCTGCTAAAAGTTTTAACGTTTAGTGGTTTAATACGGAAAACCAATGAGTTGGCAAAAAGTTGTTCAGTCCTAACATCCCTTGGCAACATGCCCCAAAGGTTCATCTCTGGTGAGTTGGACGTTGGTTTCACCAATGCCTCCAGCAGCATGGCCACAGTACCGGAGGCAAAGGCCAAGTCCCACTTCATGTACGTGTACCTAGTGGGCGTGAGTCAAAACAGGGGGGGGATAGATGTTCTCACTACATGTAAAACACACGCCCATGTGTGTGTGTGTGGGTGGTTGTGGTTGTGGTTGTGGTTGTGGTTGTGGTTGTGGTCCTGTGGTTGTGTCTTTCTTGAGAGTACCCCTCCTTGGGGTCGCTTCCAAGGGAAACCACAAGGAAGCCTCCCATTTTAGGGTCCCCTATTTTACACACACTAGATCCATTCAACTGGTTGAGGCACCCCAAAAAAACATGAAAGCTCGCAGCTCGCATCTGCGGCCCTGGTCGGCGTGCTTCGGCTGACTTTTCGGGGGACAAACCTAACCAGAAAGAATGGCCAAAGACTCCTACAGCTCTGCGTCGGCAAGAAGCGATTGTTGTACGCGCAGGGAGAGCAGAGAGAAAAGCATAAAGAGCGGAGCGAAAGCTGGGAGCGGGGAGAAGGCTTGGTTGACGTTGGAAGGGAAGCAAACATTTAAATTCTAGCAGATAAGTGGGAACTTCCCACTAAACAACAATGAGCAAAAATATAAAATGCTTCCCAACAACAACCATAGAAGAGCGGCGCCAATGATGGGGAGAAGAGGTGCAGAGAAGACCAAAGTATTGCTTGCGAGCGAAAGAAAGAGACACTCCAGCTATCAGGCTAGCTTGCGTGGCCAGGAACCGCAACTTCATGTTCAACCAAGGGAGCAAAACTGTTCCCTGCATGTGACATGCAGCCACATGTCATGTGGGTGCTTCCTGAAAATAAGGATAAATCAGAGGCCCGTCGTTGGATGATGTGCAAAGGCGAAACACAAGGACCCCCTTGCCATGTTTAAAATTCCCTTACTGTGTCTGTTTCAAAAGCTGGGTTAAATCCTTTAGATGCTATTTAGTTCCACCACTAATCAAAGACAATTAACCCACTCACAAACGAAGCTTCGAGCAAGTTTGGCGTTGATGGACACAATTTTCTCTGGCATCTTCGCCCGGCCTAGTCCCCCTCCTCGATGTTCAACCCTTAGATTGATTATGACAATGAATATCAACAGGGCTGGCGTAAATGGGGCTAGTTCCCCTACCATGGCTATAATTTACTTGCCATAGGCGCTAGGCATGTGCTCCCTCCCACTGGAGCGCACCAAAGACATGTTGTTCAGAGTCTACCCTCAAACATACTTCATACGCTTCAGGAAACGGCCTCCCAAATGGCGCGAGGCCCGGCAAGCTGTCCTCATTCCCCCGGCAACCCCTTTTTCTGCTGCCCTCCTCTCCCTAGCCATCCCTAGCCATCCCTAGCCATCCCTAGCCATCCCTAGCCATCCCTAGCCATCCCTAGCCATCCCCTGGCGGGCGCGCTAGGGGGACCAGGGCATCAGGGTCCGGCCGTAGGGCCCCGGGCCTGGTGAGGGACAGGTCCAGGTCCAGCGCGAACAAGAGCCCCAGCTGCCAAATCCAATGCCTCCGCCCCAAAAGCTGGCCCGCGTCGTCCGCCAGGCCTCGGGTCCCCCAAGCCCCCAAGCCCTCCCGCTTCCGTGGCCATGGGAGAAAAAGGGCCCCGCGAGGCCGCGTTTTTCTGGCTGGGGTCTGAGCGGAAAATGGTTTTATAGAGGAAGAACCCTCAAACAAAACACAGTACAAAGGGGCACCGCTAAAGGTCTGGGTGCTTAAAGCCCACCTAGGTCCTCCAGTAGAGAGGTCAGAATAAGGGTACCGTGTTTTTTTCTGTGGTTTATGTTAGTAGGGGAACCCTCCCCCCAAAAAGGGTAAAAGGGCACTACTGGGGGACCTAGCCACTGATGATTGGAAGTCCCCAAGTGGGTGACAATCCGGGCCAAGCATTTGGCGAACTCCACATCCAAGCGCGAAATACCCAGATTGGTCCGGGGCATCAGCTTCAAGGAGCCTGGCTTTCAGAGACCCTCTATTCATTTCAGCTACTCAACCTCGACGCGGCTGAAAGAATTCACCTCTTCATTCCCTTCCTAATAGAAAAGATCCCCCAAGCAAAACAGTCTTCAAACCCCGGGCTTGTTAGGGAGCATTCATCTCTTCATTCTCTTCCTAAAAGTCGAAACGTCCCCCAAGAGCAAAAACATTCTTCAACCCCCCGGCAGACCCAATCACTAAGTGGCTTGTTTTCGTGAGCCCCCGAAAAGGGAAAGCGGATCTGACGGAAGAGGACCGAGAAAGGAACCGGGGACCCCGACGAATGGCCCATGCCTTTCCCCGGTTTATTTTTCAGCTGTTGCCTTTATTTTGCGGGGATCGTATTTCTCTGTTCAGTCAAGGGAAAGGGATTAGCAACGCAGTTGTTTCGGGAGGAAACCAAAAGACCCAAAATCTACCCTCAGGAAAGGTTCTGAGGGAACCTTCTTGGGATCGGAGAATGGACCTATTCAAAAGCGCGCGAAATCCAGCCGGTCTTTGCTCGGCTGTGGATCATGATTCACCAATCCCTTCTGTGGATGGACAACATCCACACCAGGCAGCAGTTGGTAAATGGTGTATCCCAATAAAGGGCTTCACCCATCCCTGCATGGGTGAGGTTGCAAAAACCCTTTGTGAGTCGCTCTGGTTTCCCCAAATGGCCTCACTTTGAACCGTTCATTCTGGGCTTTACCCCAAAAACGCCTACTCTCGCTGAGGGGCTTGAACAAGCACAACACATATGGCACGGGGGGAGGGGCAGTCTGCCATGTCCAAACAGCCAGCCAACCACAAGCCAGCTAGACAACCAACCAACCAGCCAGCCAGCCAGCCAGCCAGCCAACCAACCAGCCAGCCGGCCGGCCGGCCGGCCGGCCAACCAACTGACCTACCAACCAACCAACCCAACCGGCCAACCAGTCAATCCTGGGCCAACCAACTGGTCAACCCCCAGAAGAACCAACCCCCCGCCGAGCCCAGGTGCGCAGTGCTGCCAAGACAAAGGCCTCCTCTGGCAGGATGAGGCCTCCGGAGCGCGGGAACGATGAGTTCAGAGGGAAGCTCTGACCGTGGTGGTGGAATCAGTTTTCCATATGCGTCCTACTGGGATCAAGGTCAGGCAGGCTATCATTATTGGGCAACTAGTTGCCCCAATTCTCCCATGTTTTTTACCGTGGTTGTAACCGAAATGGATTGAACTGCTCCGCAGACCCAGCAATCACCACATCTTTGGAGTCTTGAGTACGTTCAGGGCATCCTTGTTGGGTGAGCCCATTGAAGTAATCCTGAGGTCGGGCTGAGGAAGCTAGCAAACATCAAGCTCGGGGTGGTACGCTTTCCTCTCCGTTCCCTTTCAAGCCCGAAAAACACCCAATGTTCGACGTGGGTGGGAAACAAGCCAGTGTCAAAACGAGCTCGACGCTTTTTCTGGGGCAACGCACACAAAAATGCCTGGCACATCCCAATGCAGCGTGCCTGCTACACAAAATATCACTCGCCAACCGAAACTAAGGCAATGAATCCCCAAGTAAGGCGCATGGCTTAGCTCGTTGTAGCCCCAGCTGAGTTTGCCATAACTAGTGCAGATTCATCCAGATTCAAAGATCCGTTGGTGAATCCATTTTCTCCCCACCTTTCGTGCTCTTTGCACCGCACCGGCAACCATTCAAAGCCCAAACCCCCAAACCCCCAAACCCCCAAACCCCCAAACCCCCAAACCCCCAAACCCCCAAACCCCCAAACCCCCAAACCCCCAAAACCCCCCGCCAAAAAAAACAAAACCCAAAACCCCCAACCCCCAACCCCAAACCCCCAAACCTCAACCCCCCCCACCAACCCCCCCCCTCCCAAAAAAAAAACAACTCCCCGCCTTTCACCCCTGCCGCCGAGGCCCTTGGGTGGTCTTGCAGCGCCATGGCCTTCAGAAGCGACGGGCTTCCGCCCGCATGGGTGTGGTAGGATGGCGTGTGGTGCAAGCGGTTTACGCTGTACTATGGTTTCCCTTTACACCCACGCCCGGATCTAGCAGCCCCTGTTTGAAGGGTTCTTTTAGGGGAACCAAGGAAGCCAACCTGAAGGCTTGACTGAAAACAGCTAGAGTAATTACAGGTGAGTCATACTCAAAATTCGGTGCTAAAGGGGTCCCAACACCATCTTAAAGAATTGAGAGGGCGGAATTCCGAAGCTTATGGCTTATGCTTGGGACTGCCCCTTCTTCGCTTCAGGTTTTGAGTGTAACCCATGCCCATTTCACTTGAAACCCACTAGCCCCGATTAGTCTAAACCTATGGGCACTGGCGACCGATGGGCGGTGAAAAAATGGGCACGGTAAAAGATGGTGTGGCACGAAGTCGTGTGTGAATGTTGCCCTGTGGACATGAATAAAAAAGCGGGGGTTCATGTGGACCCAGTTGAAACGAGGGACAAATGGCTCCTGGGCACTGGCAGCAATGGATGGACTCTGGAATGTGGCTATCTACCAAAATTCAGGTGGTCCCCAATTGAAGGGGACTATCCTTGGCTCAAAAAAAGTGGCCCAAGCCTCCCAGGGACATGTTTTGAGCCTTCACAAAAAATGAAGATGCCTATCCGCCAACTTCACAGGTGAGGGTTGTACCAACAGCCACACCCGGAATTCAGAAGGAACCCCGAGCCGCTCCACTCCGGATCTGGCCGGCGAACCTCCGGGCTCACGCGACGCTGAAGTTCTTTGGCCGGTGCCCCGCCGGTTTCAAGGTGCGGCGCCCACGGTTTTGTCCATGGGGCTGGGTGTCGACACCGGATGTATAGAGGAAATGCCCAGTTCCTTTCGTAATGGCACAGTTGAGTGAACGTAGATGGAACAAAATTCCGGCATTGGTTTTGTCACCCACTAGGGAAGTGATCTTTCACCTGCAACTGGAAGCACTGGGACACGGGCTCTGACTGTACCGTTCGCAGCTACGCCTGGGGCCGCAGCGAAAACGCGCTGTGCCACCTCTGTCAGCTCCTTCTCCTGACACGTTTGAGGCCAAAAATTCGGAGAAAAGCCCCATATATGGGCCAGGGAATCTGGGAACGTGGGCCAGAAAGAACGTGGAATGGGGGGGCGGGCACTTCAGACCCCTTTTGAAGCCATGATGGGATAATTCATCACAAATGTAATCACGTTGGGCATTCTACCCATGGCCATGGGATTATTTGGTTCGTCTCACTGGACAAAAAACTCTCGCGCAACCCAATGTGGATAGGTTAACCAACATATTTTGCCATTCACCAGACATAGGGAGCGCAAAGGAGAAAGGAACCTTCTTTTGGACCTACCGTCGCTGGTGACTGAATGGTTTTTGCAATTCACCCAAGGCCAACGTGCCCACTCAGGTATCGGACTGTTCAGTTGGATCCACCCCGTAACCTCTTCTTCCAATAATTAGTGAGCCTTTGGGGGCCTCGCTTGAGGGAAACAGGGGCGGAGCGGGGTCGGGGAGGAAGGGTTCGAATTGCATAACAAGAACCACACCTGCGAAAGCGGGAGGACACCAGCTGCACATTGCCACGCCACTTTGCCTTTTGACCCGCAGTTTACACTTTCCAACCCCTGTGTAAAGACACACTTCCTTGCAGCCCCCTTCAAAACAGGAACGAAACCGCCAAACGTCTTAACACCTAAATCAAACAACCTTTCAACACAACATACACAAGCCAAATGCAGACCCTGGATAGTTCGACACATAAAATCCATTCAAGCATAGCTTCACAACCCTTTCGTTGACACCACAGGAGACCAATGTTACCTTTTGTCACTTTGAATGGGTGCCTGGTGTAGAAAGTGGCCCAACCCACATCTCCGCATGCTCACTTCAAGCGGCCCAAGCCCGAACCATTTCCTTCTTGGGCATTCGATTGAGTCGAATTCACGGATCGCAGCTCACAAGGGGGGAAGCAATGAAGCCTGGGGAATTTGCAAGTTTTTCCGCAACTTGGAAATATAAAACTGGACACAAGCTGGAAAGAAAGGAAGCATTGGTGGAATGGTTTCTCCTGGAGTGGTGTCCTTTTCCCTTACAGCGCAATAGCAAATTGGAATAGATGTATACATATGGGCGCCCAAACGGGGGTATCAACAAAAAAAAAACGAGCCGCGCCTTGGGGTGCAGCCCCAACTTGGCGCCGCATCCACAACTCCAGGTCTCGGAGCTCACGTCCAGCCGCGCGAAGCCGGCTGAAGAGCGCGCGGACGGTCGGCTCGACCCATATGGCTGTGGGTCAAAACCAATGGTACCATTTTGGAGTAGGTGCACCACCCATTTTCGACTATTTTAGTGGGGATTGGGGTGTTCACTGGGGGGTAACCGGGGTCATGGCCATATGGCCCATTTCAGCCTCAGCTGGTGGTTTGGAGCCCGCTGGTTTGGCCATGAATAAACTTTTCCAGATGTGGTGAAAGTCATTTGTTTGGCGGCTTCCCTGATGGTCACTCCATGTACCACGGACCTTTCGATCAACCATGGCCCATTTGAGGATGGCTTTGAACAAAACACAATGAATCGTGCCCCAGGGACTAAGGAGGCCGGGATGAGTGTAAAAAAGCATGCTTTGGAAGCTCCAATGGGCTTTGACATGGCTTTAGTGGAAGATTTTGGAAAAGGGATCCCCTAACCTTGAACGGCGAAGCTGCTCCTACAGACTGGACCCTCAGATACTTTCGTTTTTTTCTTGTGGCTTCCCATAGGAAACTGTTGGCTTTGGTTGTCGCGTGGAACATTTGTGCTGACTACTTTCCTTTGGGAAACAAGTCCAGTGCACTTCCGTGGATTTGGTCAAAGACTAGGGTTTTGGGTAAATGTTGAGAACGTCCGTGTGGCGACCTCTTAATCCCGGGAAGTGGAATCTATGATTGAAGCGATGTGGCAAGGTACAAGAGATTTGGCGTGGGACTGGGCAAGCCATGTCAAATGAACCCGAACGCTTCACGCACCTCGTCCAGATTGTGATTGGCCTCCAAAGGTTGCCATGTCGTCCCGGCTCACGATTGCTTTCCCCTACCGAGAAAGCAAAAATTCGCTCTAACCAAGCTGATAAGCTAAACAACTTTTCAGGCCAGAAGGAGACCAGGGAACCCAAAAAGTCCCTGGAACGGGTCCAGCGCTTGGCAAACAGATCTGAGAAAGAAGTTGGAAGGCTGCCAACACTGCCGGTCCCTGCCTGGCATGGCGCCGCGCTCCTTAGAGAGGTGCGGGATTTGGATAGAGGTCAGGAAGGATCGAAGCGCAGCTTGTTGGGTTTTTGCGGGTAGGATAGGAACGTTAACAACTTGGAGCCCCCAAATGGTGAATGGTGGCCCAGCCAACTCCTTTTGGAAATCTCCAACTGTCTGTGGGTCAAAAATAGGTACCCAAAATGGAACCTCAGTAAGTGGAAGCATGGACAATTTAAGCTGCGGTCCATATCCTGGTGGTTTGATTTTGACCCACACCCAACTGTAGCTCTAGGATGGGTCTGCTGACCAACAGCTCGCCAGGTTCAAGCTGCAAATCCGATCCACCAAGACCCTCGTTCCATCCAGCGACCTGGCACAAGAAATCGCAAGACCAACCACACCACCACATTTTGAACAAGAGGCATTGTCCCCCAAACCCCATGTCGCGCGGCAAAAATCCCTTCTCCAGCTGCCTCCAGTCCGCCTGAAGCGAGCCTCAAGCCCCAGGGTTGTGAAGCGGTCAGATCCCCTCGGTCAAAGCCTCCTTAAAACTGCTCAAATTCCCTTCTAGAATGTGATCCAATCCCGATTGAAAACCGCAGAAGTCAAGAAACCAGTCACATCATCCAGAGACCGGTCAACCTCCTATCTAGACCAGTCAAATCCCCTCTAAAGACCGGCCCACCTCCGGCCAAATCCCGGTCAAATTCCCTCTCAAAGCCAGTCCACACTCCGGTCACATCGGGAACCAGTCAAATTTCCTCTCCAGAAACCAATCGAATCCCCCCTTTAAAAAACACCCAATCAAACTCCCCTCTACAAACCTGTCAAGACACCTCCAACTCCAGTCAACTCCCTCCAGAAACCGGAAAAACCAGTCAATTTCGCTCTTGTTCTGGCTCTTGAAGCCATGTGGAAACACACAGACATGCACCCACCCTCCACCTTGGAAACCAGCTCCCGCATTTTGGCGCCGACTCACTTAGTTTAACAAACACAAGACTTCAATTAAGGTAAACTAAAGCACGGTGTATACTTCAAAGCCAGCCAAAAGCAGACTGGCCGAGGCGGGCAACGCGAAGCGTTTACAATTATAAGCTTTCCACCTGACATAAGGTGGTTGTGGGGCTAGTCCCAGAAGTCTCAGCCACTCGGGTTTTCAGCGCCCCTCGCACCTTTTGGCAAAAGATCCGTGGCATTTGACACGGCCAATCAACTCAAAGGCGGGGAAAAACCTCTCCCGTCTCAGTCTTTCGAACAACCATCCCAAAAAAGGGTACAAATGGATCTGGCTTTGGCTCAGTCCTTCATCCAAGTTGGCCGACTTCTGTTCGGAAGCTTCCCCCTAATCCGCCAGGCAGGGGGGGCGCGCCCACAACGGGGGGGGAGGGGGGGTACCGCGCGGCGATTTTGTGACGTTTTCACTTCCCGGCAGTTACCGGGCACAGGCTTGGCGCTGGGGCGGCGGGCCGGGCCGGTGCTGCGTGCGGGCTGTTGGGCACTGGCGTGGGTGGGTGACGCACGCGTTTTTGCGTGGGGTTTGTCGCTTTTCCATGGGATGTCTCTGGGTTTTCTAGGGGTTCCGCGCGCTTAGGTTTGGGCTTTATTTTTCTGTTTTCACTGGTCTTTGGGGCGCCGGCATGGTGTGTACGTGTGCGTTTATTTTTTTGTGTTTTAATTGTTTAAGGGGCTTGTGGCTTTTGAAGGGATTGTGCTCTTGGGCGCGGGCGTGGTCGGTGAGGCGTGTGCTTTTGCGTGGGGGCCGCAGCTTTTCTCTGGCCTGGAAATTCCGCAGCTTTTGTAGTTTGTGAACTTGACCTATAATTACAATTTTTCCGAAAACGCCTAACTTGATGAGCTTCTGCGCTTGGCGGGCATCAGAGCACTTGGGGTTTGAAGACAGTGACCTTGCGGCATTTTGCAGCCTTTTGGGCCCGCGTGGGACGCATCCCTTTTTCAGGCGAGATCTGCGTGATGCATCAGGGCATCAAAGGATCAAGGCATCAAGCCATCATATTGGGGCGGATGCCCATATAGTAGTCGTAGATCCGAAGCATGACATTTCCCAGCACCAAGCTGCGCAAAATCTGCGCAAAATCGTGAGGACCCTTGCTACAACTGCTTGAGACAGGTTTCGATGCATTTTGCCGCGCCGACTTTTGCCCGCACAACGCTCGGAAAAACCCGCACAACGCCCGCAAACGCCCGCAAAACCCCGCACACGCTCGCAATTCCCAAAATCCCCTTTTTGGGGTATATCCCGACTTGGGCAAATCAGCCTATGGCACGGCCAATGCAACAATTTCGTGGGCGGCTACTTCAACACATCAGGCTTGGGCGACGCAGAGGCCTCGGCCAAACTTGGAACACAACACACAAACGCATGGGCCAGTACCGAGTTCAGTGAAAACCTGCAAATTGATAAGGATGTTCAGCAGGATGCGCGCGTCAGCAGGTGTCAGTGCAAAGGCGCGTGCGGAAAAGGGCGCGAGGGGCAACAGGAACATGGCATGACTAGATCTCCTGAAGCTCGCCTAGATTTTCCAAAAACGACGCGGAATCCATCAGAACGCCTCAACTTCAAAAACGACAAGGAATAAGTACACAAAGGAATGTCTAGAGGGTTCTCTTTGGGTTTTCTCGCGGTTCTGCGCTTGCGTTCGGGCTTCATTTTGCGCGCCGTGTGCGTTTTGCGTAGGGTTCCGCACTTTTCGAGGGATTGTGCTGGCGTGGTTGGTGAGGCGCGTGTTTTTGTGTGCGGGCTGTAGCTTTTCTCCGGGTTCTCTCTGGGGTTTCTCGGGTTCTGCGCGCTTAGGTTCGGGCTTCCTTTTTCCGTTTTCAGTGGTGTTTGGGGTGCTGGCGTGGTGGGTGACGTGTGGGTTTTTCCGTGGGGTTAGCTTTTCTTGCGGTTGTGCTCTTCGGCGCGGGCGTGGCGGGCGAGGTGCGTGTCTTGGGTTGGGTTTCTGTGGTTCTGCGCGCAAGCGGTGGGTTGGGTTCGGGCTTCCTTTGTCAGTTTTCAACGGTCTTTCTGGGGGTTGTCCGGAGGTGTGTCGTTTGTGTGGGGTTCGGCGCGCCGAGCGCACCAGAAGTCGGCGGAATGAGCCGGAGGCTCTATAGTTTCTCGCCGGAAGCAATTTTAAAGCAAACCACCTGGGAGGTTTCACTGTGAGGTCATTCCAATTCCCTATCGAGGCTCTGCCCCGCGCGCGCTTTTCGCGGCGGCGACAAGGTCAGGCAGCTCTTCGAACTCGCGGTCGTACCACATCTGTTCCCGGATTTTGCCTCGCTCGCATCGGCAGCTGCTTGGGTCCACAAAGAAGGCGTAGGGTGGGGTTGGCGGAAGGAGGTTGACGGGCGGGAAGCAGGTTTACACACACCTTTGTTTGAATAAAACCCAATTGGCCATGGGTCAAAATCCCGTGAACATCCCAATCCCCACTAAAAAAAACTAAAATGGGTGGTGAATTCACGTACCCCAAAATGGTACCATTGGTGTTGACCCACTGCCAATTCATTTCCCTTTACCAGGGGCTCAAGCTTGGCTCAACCCTGGCACATATCCTTCTTGCGTACGCCTTTGAGCAAATGACGCTGAAAGGCGTGCTGATGTTCATTCCCCTCTCCCAACAAGGTATGTAATACATACCCAATATATAAAGTGGGTTGGCAACCATGAAAGCAAGGCGTATTAAAAAAAGCCTCCATTCAAGACATTTATGGAAAGAACCCCTACTTTCAATATCCCCGGATCGGGCAACCGGAAAAAGAAAGGTCTCCAGATGGTTCCCTTAAGTGCTCTTTCGGGACAGCCGCAATTAATTGGCACCCTCAAAAAGCAGAGAACCGCAAATGGGTCCCGCCAACATACGCGGGCTGCCCCAGAGGAAAGTCATCTCGATGTCTCAAAATGGTTCGAAACCCTGTGGTTGGCAGCCAAAGGAAACTACTTGAAAGCAGTTTCCTTTTGTGTTCCATCTTTTCGAGGGGTAGACTTCCGGGTTCCTTGTTGGGAAGTTCACCAGGTTTGAGCCCTTGGGGGGCAATCCAAAAACGGATACGGCACTTCCTTTTGTCGGGTACACGTTTTTAAGGTTTTGTTCAAGTGAAATCAGCTGGAAGATCACCATGTTGACATGTTCCCCCCCACCCGATTCTGAGAGAACGTGTATGGATTGTGTCCTGCTTTCCCTTCCAACAACAACCACGAAACCTGAAAGGGACCCCCTGGACGACCATCTTCTCTTGAGCTTAATGTGCTGTCGGGATGGTAGTCACCCCCCCCCCCACCCTTAGTGATTTGAAATGAGCCACTCTCAGCGTGATTTGGGCGCAGAGCCCCGGATTTTGTGGCTGAAATTTGGGTGGCCCCCCCCTTCTCGTCCCCAAACCAAACAAAGGTTTTTGTCAGTAGCTCAAATGGCCGCCGCTAAATTTGGGTGTGGGGCAAAAAACAACATACCCAAACTGGAACCCCTGTGGAAACACGGACTAAATCTGTGGTCTTGGCTTAATTTGAACCCTGTGCAAACATGGACGAAAACGTCTGCGGTCCATATCCTGGTTTAATTTCGACCCATACCCAAAAGTCAAGAAAGTTGTGGTTCTAGAATAAAAACTGACATATGATTATATATATCTATATATATATATATATCTATATATGCGCATATTTAGCTATAGAGTCAACAGTTGAGACACCCGGTAACCCCCGGTCTCAGGCGCGCCTCGGGAGTTCAGGGCCTTCTGGCGCAGCCGGCTTTGCAGCCTCGTGGAGCGAGAGAGCCGTGTTCCAACAAGCGCAAAGTTGTTGGTGTTGGGGGTCCTCTGTATCTGCGGGCAAACAAGCAAACAAACAAAGAAAGAAAGAAAGAAAGAAAGAAAGAAAGAAACAAACAACACAAACACACCCAGGTGGTTGTCTTTCTTTCCGTTCTTTCTTCTTTCCTTGCTTTCTGCCTTTCATTCTTTCTTTGGGGGCAGGGCCCTGTGTTTTCCAAACGAAGCAACGCCCAAAGAGCCTATCTAGCCAAGTTTGCAACTCAAGCCCAAACACATCAAACCAGGTGAACTGGGTATTTCCACTGCACGAAATGTCCCAGTGATTCCATCCCCCTCTCTAGTACGATTCCGCGCAAGATACCGGACATAAGAGAAATGAGTGATGAGGAAATTCGCACGATCGCTTTCCTTAAAGTTAAAGGGATGAAACTGGGCATTGGGCCAACTTGTCGGATTTGATCTGGCTGGCAACTTGCCACCGAAATCACCCTCATGCCCGATCAAATGGTGTAATGACCCCGGGAGAATCAGACTTTCACAAGGGATATCAAGATCTCGGCGAGAAGTACTGCAATTCCCCAAGTGCTCCGCTTGCCTGGAAGATAGAATAACATTGAACAACACTGCAACTCAATAATTCAGATTCTTTCACCCGTCGAATTTCCGACGATATCCAGAAATCACGCAAGGCCAAGGCTGCTCACGCGTTGAGCCATTTCCCAAGGGATCATCGAGGGATGACCCAGCTCAGCCCAAGCTCACCCAGTTCCAGTTGCCACATGTAGTTAGCCATGATAAACAGGAAAAGATATGCTAACCCCGTGAATGTGTTTGTGGTTCACCCCTTACCTCCTATGGCACCGAGTGACTAATTGGGCAGAATGATGCCCTTGGCGACCCGAAGGAGGTAATGACTTAGCCCCTCATAGTGCTTTTACCCTTCCCTGGGGTTCCAAATATGCGGCCCTCAAAGGCCCGACGAGAAACTCACTCAAGACTTGGCCCATGTGATCCAGCCACCGCAAAAAAAACATCGGCTCCAGCCAGGATGTTCCCCTGGCCACTTGGGTATGGGTCAAAATTTAACCACCAGGATATAGATCGCAGGTTAAATCGTCCATGTTTCCACTTTCCAGGGCAAGGCATTTTGGGGTTAGCTGGGTAAAACCTGCGGTCCCATGGCCATTTGGAACCCAAAATTGGTTCCTTCCTTCCTTCCTTCCTTCCTTCCTTCCTTCCGTCCTTCCTTCCTTCCTTCCTTCCTTCCTTCCTTCCTTTCTTCTCTTTCTGTCTCTGTCTCTCGTTCTTCCCTGCCTTCCTGAATTCCTTCCTTCCTTCAACTTCCTTCCTTCCTTTCTTCTCTTTCTGTCTCTGTCTCTCGTTCTTCCCTGCCTTCCTGAATTCCTTCCTTCCTTCAACTTCCTTCCTTCCTTTCTTCTCTTTCTGTCTCTGTCTCTCGTTCTTCTTCCTTCAACTTCCTTCCTTCCTTTCTTCTCTTTCTGTCTCTGTCTCTCGTTCTTCCCTGCCTTCCTGAATTCCTTCCTTCCTTCAACTTCCTTCCTTCCTTTCTTCTCTTTCTGTCTCTGTCTCTCGTTCTTCCCTGCCTTCCTGAATTCCTTCCTTCCTTCAACTTCCTTCCTTCCTTTCTTCTCTTTCTGTCTCTGTCTCTCGTTCTTCCCTGCCTTCCTGAATTCCTTCCTTCCTTCAACTTCCTTCCTTCCTTCTTCCTTCCTTCCTTTCTGTCTCTGTCTCTCGTTCTTCCCTGCCTTCCTGAATTCCTTCCTTCCTTCAACTTCCTTCCTTCCTTTCTTCTCTTTCTGTCTCTGTCTCTCGTTCTTCCCTGCCTTCCTTCCTTCCTTCCTTCCTTCAAATTCCTTCCTTCCTTTCTTCTCTTTCTGTCTCTGTCTCTCGTTCTTCCCTGCCTTCCTGAATTTCCTTCCTTCCTTCAACTTCCTTCCTTCCTTTCTGTCTCTGTCTCTCGTTCTTCCCTGCCTTCCTGAATTCCTTCCTTCCTTCAACTTCCTTCCTTCCTTTCTTCTCTTTCTGTCTCTGTCTCTCGTTCTTCCCTGCCTTCCTGAATTCCTTCCTTCCTTCAACTTCCTTCCTTCCTTCCCATTCTGGGTAGCTCTTTTTGACCCACAGCCACTTGAGCTTGAAGCCCCTCCTCCCAGCCTGCCGGGCACCACGAGGTCCACAATCCCCGGCAGCGGTGCGTCCACCGGCTCGATGAGACGCCCCAGCCCTCAGAGTTTCTCGCCCAAAACCGACTTTTGGCTCCAACATAGCTGTGGATGCACGAAATCCATTTCGCTCCACCTGAGAAACCATTAAACTTTGTGGGAGAATCAACATTCCAGGGTTTCTTAGGTGGTGCGGGAGTTTGTCCATCCACAGTAGTGACAGATTTCTTGGGTTTGTCTTTTATGTTGGCTTCCCTTCAAAAACAAACAAAAAGGGCACCCACCAAAAGACATACCCATATGGGCTTGCAATAACTCGAAACAAGCCGGGCAGTAGAACCACCGACTAAAATGGCGAATGGGAGTTCTTGGCGCTGCTCTGGTGTTTGTGGTCTGAAATTTCGGTGGGTCCCCATTCTCGCAGTCCCCAAACTTCAGGGTAGACCAAAAATGCATCAACAGTGTAGAAACATTAATATGTCTAGGTCCTCCAGTAGAGGTGAGAATAAGGGTAGTCTTTATTCTGTAGTCTATTTTAGTAGGGGAACCCTCCCCCGAAAAGGGTACAAGGGCACTACTGGGGGACCTAGATGTATATCTATACATATATATATATATATATATTAATATATATATATATATTATTGTCATCTGGCTCTATTTCGGATGTTTCAGTCCCCCTGGACTCCCCTTCTGACCAACGAACTCTCCTGACAAGTCTCCCAAGGCCCCAATCCCCATGGCAACTTTGGCGCCAAAAGAAGCCTTGACTCGGATAAACGTTGCGCTTCCTGAGCTTCTACGATGAACATGAGACCTACCGTGGATGGACGAAATCTATTTCGCACCACCTGAGAAACCCTGGAATTATGCTTTCCCGCCGTAAATACCAAACACCAATGGTTTCTTATGGTTTCAAAGTGGTGCAAGACTTCGTCCATCCACAGTATGTGTGTGTGTGTGTGGGGTGAATTTTGGACCCGGGAAGCTTTTTACAGACTTCACAAAGGGCGTGATACTTGACCGTCCCACACAACTGCCACACGGATTGCGCTTTTTTCGATTCGTGGTTGACTGGATAGTGTCATTGAAAAACGGGTAAGAAGCATAGACTGCTGCGTGACTGAGGCAATCGCGCAAAATTTGGGACCCCTTTGGAGGGTTCCACCACTGGCCCTTTGACAATCACAGGGGTTGCAAACTATACTTGCTTTGGTTTGCTTTTTGCCACTGTCTTTGGAAGTGGTTTGCGTGGCAAACCTATTCAGTCTGAGGCATTGACTCAAAACCTGCAAAATTCGAGAGGCGCCCATAAGTTCAGGTTGAAAATAAACAGAACAATAACTCAAGCGCTCGCGAGATGTGGGAAACATAAAGGTGTTTTGTGCATTCAGTGTTTGATAGTTTGATGTAGGGTATTGATAGCCCCTCTCCTTTTGGAGAGCTTGAAAGGGGGGGCAATGCGAAGGCCAACAGGGAAGCCATTTGACCATGCCTGAACATCTGAGTGGAGCTTGGGCATTTGTGAGCTCATGTATCATTGGATTATTCTTTCCACCACACAATCAATGGGGCCACTAACGGAATGGCATCTGTCACCCATCTTCAATACAGCTTTGGATTCGCTTGAACGCTGAAAAGCGAAGTGCCCGTTACTCAGTTGGGGTCAGAAACCCCCCTTTTGTAAATGCAACCCGACTCACTAAAACTGGCCTTGCACTAATTCGTAAGAACCACGACCCAACAAGATCTGGGTATGTCTTGTTGTTAGGAAACCCCTGGTTGGTTTCTTTGCTCAAGGGAGACCAAAACAAAAACACACATTTTGGGGGTTCCTCATTTTGAGGCAAACCCATTCATTCTTTGGCCACCTGGCTCACAATCAAGGACACCCTCTGGCAGAGAAGAATCTGTCGAGGCAACATTGGCGGTCAACAGGGTCAAACACAAAGCCACCGTTTATCTTGCTCATGAAAGCCTGAACCAGGGATCGACATAATAGGTTGACCAAGCTATGTTTCGCCCAAAAGGCGACGAACGCTGCAACACAAACGAGGGAAACCAACTGTTGTCGCTGGTGAAGAGAAACCAAGGGCAACAACAAGTGTCTACCCTTGAGTTTCTGAATCATCGTTTGAAAGCGAGCAGTCCGACTCGCAAACCTGGCTTCAAACACTGAGGCGCCGAGGGTAGATCCATCCACCAGCGCCCAGCCAGATTTCTTCCTTGGGATTGTGGCAGCGAAGAATCAAGGGCTACTTCAAAAGGACCTTCTATTGGCGAATACGTCCTCTGGAAAAAAAATCCAGTAGTGATAGATTCCCTTTAATCTAAAATCAAGAGGGGAAATCAACAATCTTCTTAAGCAAATGGAAGGGACCTGAAAAGGGGGCTTGGTGCCATTTTATTACATGAGGCTCCCTGTGAGCGGGTCACAACCGCCTTGCTGTTTTCCAGAGAAAACAACAAAAACTCGGAAACCAAAAGTTGTAGCCCAGGATCTTGACACTTGTCTCTGGGGATGCTGCGGGTTGGTAGCTCGGATGCTGCCGGGTTGGGCAAAACACTCTTTAAATCCTTCCCTCCTGAACGTGGCCTTTGGGTATGGTCGTTGAACGGTATCTTCCAAGCTTGTGGCTTGTCAAACTTAGGAGCCCCCCACTTCCATTTGCTTAAGTCCCCTGGAAGAAAAATGCAAACCAAATATGTCCAAGAGTGCTAGATTGCCTTTCAACCCAGGGGAAAATCGACAATCTTCATTTTAGCAAATCTCGGTTGCTTTCTGATCCCCTGCTAAAGTTTAACTTTAGTGGTTTAACGGAAAACCCATGAATTGGCAAAAAACAAAAACAAGAAGTCCTAACATCCAAGCAAAATGCCAAAGAAATGGAAGCCCATCTTTGTACCCAAAGATACCGCCGCCCAAACGTCCGGACCTCATTCGCAGCTCCGGAAGGCTTCAAAAAGCCACGTGGCTGCGGGTTAAAAATCGGGTAACCCGTAACCCCAAAGTGGGTTGCCATGTTAAACGAAACCTTGGTGCGTCGTTCTCGAAACGGGGAGTTTACCTGTGGGTCAAACCCAGGTACCCAAAATGGAACCATGGTAAGCGGAAACATGGACTAAAAACCTGCGGTCCCTGAATGGTTTCATTCTGACCCATACCCACATGTCCATAGCTGTCAAACTGCACAACTTGAAGATCTGCGTCGAAACGACCCACCTGATACTGCCCTGATATAACCCCAGCATTGAGGTTGACGTCTGCAGAGATGCAGGACATTGAGCTTCTACTGATATTGACTCGTATCTACCATTTGAGCAAAGGAGATGCACAGGGGCCAGACTTAGACCCAACAAGTTTTTTTCACCCGTTGTGCGGTCACATTGAAACTGGACTTACATGCTCGGCAATCTGCAGTTATGGGGCCCATATGCTTGACCGCTTCAACCAAACTTAGAAGCAAGCTTGCGAATCCTGAGCTTGGGATGGCTGAACGGGTCAGGGAAGGGTTCCCTGTTGCAATTCCAGGAAAGAACATTTTGCGTAAACTGGGGCAATGCGGACATTCCGTGGTTTTATTTATGCCGGTTCGTCCGCGGACCTCTCACTTTGACTATCTTCATGGACCTCTAAGCAAGGCTATGACCTGACATTTGCTTAATTCAGCTCCCTGGTTCTTACAAAACAAAACAGTAGTGATAGATGTCCTTTACCACAAACAGGGGAAAACAAACACATTTCTTTAAGCACATGGGAAGTCACCCCTTGCAGCCTTAAGCCATTTTCCTGGGACTTTCCAAAAACCGCCAAGGCCCCCGTGGGAGGTCCGCTTCTCGAGCACTCCGAGTCTCGGATCTTTTTCATCGTCCCCGTAGACCCAAAGGCCCTCCGCAGTGCACTCAAGCCTCAGACTTGCTCGTGCAAAAAAAGTGGCACGCCTTGAATGCGTCAAGGTAGAGAGTCATACTCGCAGCTCGAACTCTTGTGAAGGGTGAACATGTGTATAGAAAAGATGGATACTGCCATGCCTTGCACATACGTACAAATACGAATACGTTATACAAAAACATGGGATGGTGACCTGGTGTCGAAACTAGAAACAAATCCAAATAGACGGTGTCCTGCGGGCTCCATGTCCGCAAGTTTGTCTTGTTTCCTCTCTCTCTCTCTCTCTCTCTGGGCCCCTGTGCCCAAACTTCGGACACACCATGCACATCTTCCCAATGCTGATGCATACGGATCTAAAAGTAACACCGAGGCAAGTTCAAAACAAGAAGTCAAGTCAGACGGTTTCCCCAACTGCTCGGGCTGAAACACTAGAACTCATGCATGGTGTATGGTCATTGGTCATCCTTCCAACACTGTTCGAACCAACAGAAAGAGCCCACGATTGAAAACCATACGTAGCCATCAAACGTACTCAGAATTCAACAAGCCGTAACAACAAAAACACAGAACCAACCAACCAACCAACCAAACAAACAAGCAGGCAAACAAACAAACAAACAAAACAAACAGTCAAACAAAAAAACAAACAAACAAACAAACACACAAACAAACAAACACACACAAACAAACAAAGCAGCACTACACAAACACAACACAACACAATACATGCACAACAGCAAAACAAACAAGACACAACAAAGCAAAACAAGACAAACACACCAACAAAGACAAACCCGCGCCACTCAATCAATCAATCAATCAATCAATCAATCAATCAATCAATCAATCAATCAATCAATCAATCAATCAATCAATCAATCAATCAATCAATCAATCAATCAATCAATCAATCAATCAATCAATCAATCAATCAATCAATCAATCAATCAATCAATCAATCAATCAATCAATCAATCAATCAATCAATCAATCAATCAATCAATCAATCAATCAATCAATCAATCAATCAATCAATCAATCAATCAATCAATCAATCAATCAATCAATCAATCAATCAATCAATCAATCAATCAATCAATCAATCAATCAATCAATCAATCAATCAATCAATCAATCAATCAATCAATCAATCAAATCAAATCAATCAATCAATCAATCAATCAATCAATCAATCAATCAAATCAAAACAAATCAAAACAAATCAAAACAATCAATCAATCAGACAAACCAGGCAGGCGGGCAGGCAAGCAAGCGCGCAGGCAGGGAAACAAGCAAGCAAGCAAGCAAGCTTGCAAGCAAACAACCAAACAAATGCACAAACAAAGTTGGTTGGTTGGGTTGGTTTGGTTGGTTGGGTTGGATTGGATGGTTGCGTTGCATTGGTTGGTTGGCTTTGGCAGTTCGGGATGTTCGGGATGTTCGGTTTGTTTGCGTGGCTCTTTTTGCTTCTCGCATTCTGGTTTGTTAATGCCTTTGTTCTTGGGGTTTCAACGAGGGATTTTATTTCGCCCGGTCATCAAGAGGGTTAGTGGGCATGGTTCGTGCCAAATGTGCGTGGGACTGCAGTCGAATGAGGACTTATTTGGAGGAAGTTTCGCAGAAGCGTTGTGCTGAATAAATGGTTTGGGACCCAGCAGGTAAAATGAAGGAACCATGAATTGGTGTGAGCGAAATCCAGGCAACAAAAACAGACCATCCAAACGAAGAACCCCACAAAAACCCGAAAAGAGCCAACCCGATCCAACCCAATCCAACCCCAATACCTAACCCAATGCAAAATCCAAACCAACCAAAATCCAACCCACCAGAAAATAACAAACCTTTTGCCAAGAAACCAATGCGAAACCCAACCCAATGCAAAATCCACACCAACCAAAATCCAACCCATTTCGGAAAATCACGCCAACCAAAATGTTTAACCAAGAGGTTTCCCCCACGACCGGACAATAAAAATCGCCCCAGCTTCTTTGCGTCGGAGGCGCTGGCCGGTGGCCGGGAACTCCGTGGCCTCCTTGAGCAGCGCCACGGCCCGGCCTTGGGTCGAGGCCACCTGGCGCCTCCACACCGCCGGCTGATGCACCACCTCGCGCGGGGGCCAAAGGGGCTGGGGCCGGGGGGCCAAAGGGGCTGGGGGCCCCAGGCGTCCTGAGATCTCGGTGGCGAAATCTGCGAGCCCCTGCTAAAAGCTTCTAACTTTTAGCGGGTTTAATACGGAAAACCCATTGGTTGGCAAAAAGTGAAAGTCCTAACATCCAAGCAAAATGCCAAAAAGTCGGGGGTGAAAAAACGGGGTCTTCGTTTTAGGTAGTTTTGGGGTGTCGTTGTGGGTTGCGTCGGGGGGCGGGGGAAGGGGGGGAGGGGTTCCTGGGTTGTGAAAAAAGAGGCCTTGAAGGGCTTATGGTGCACAAAAGGGCGTCTTCGTTTTATGTAGTTTTGGGGTGTCGTTGCGTCCGTCACCCTGCGAGAGAGGGGGGAGGAGGGTTGTGCGGGAGTGTTATCCAAAAATAAGGAGTGGGGAGTGGTGGACTTCAAAGGGGGATCCAATTGCTAGAACAAAGAATCGTGCTTCAACTCCTGCTAATTACTGCTAGTAACTGAACGGGAGGTCCTAACTGCGTTTGGAGCGTCGGGCAAATATGACTCTTCCAACGAAGCCTCCGGTATGGTCAGACCCAAACAGGAAGCAAAGGTTAGGTGGTGTTCCGGGATACTTCCCATAAGTGAATTTTAATTGGGCACCCTGTGCTGGACATCCTCATGGGCACGCATGTCCACCAGCCACTTTTAAGGGCTTTCCGGCTTCCCTATTGAAATGCACGGCCATATGGTTGCAAGGACTGCCTTCTTACTCTAAGGGTTGATTTCCCATTCTCCTCACCGATAGTTCCGTTCGAGAACCACCCGTTGTCCAAGAGCAATGCCCGATTTCTTGAAGAGAAGCATCCCGGCAGAGAATGGGGAAGCTACGGGTAGACTTCTAGGTTGACTCCTGTGCCGTTGAAAAAGGGGGATACTAATGCAGCTGTGAGGGTTGAGGGTCGTGGGTCGTCTTTCCTTGTGAGCCCGGTCCTTGAAATCCGGAAAGGCAGAACAACAAAAACAAAACAATAGAAAGCACAAGAGCTTCGTCCTTTAACTTCCGATGAAGAACAAAACACACACACTTTGACCCCTCTGGCTTCCCTCCAATCGGTCACGAACCGGAAGCCGTAAGGGGTTTGGACCGAATGAGCTGAAGTGGTTTCCTTTTGCTTTGCTGTTGGTGAACATGGCCCCTTCAGCACCAAGGGCTGGTTCCTTATCCAATATGGTCGAACTGAAGGGACTCCTTGGCTATCCCAAATGGATGCACCATGCTGTGCGGTTGCGATTGTTTGCCAGTTTGCAGCCTGAAGTGTGGGTGCTGATGTCAAACGCGCTAGCATATGCATGCTTTATCTGGAGGACAATGCTGAATAGCAGTGCGCGTTTGGCCCATGGCACAGGTTGGGGCAACAATGGCCCAGACATCGTGGTTTCCACCTTTGGAGTGGTGCTTGTTTCTAAAAAGATACTAACACAAAGCAAAATCCTATTCCGGGCAGACGTGTAGGGATACGGGACTTAATGCATGTCTTGGAATTCTGGAAAAGACCCAATTCAATTTCAAACATCCAAACCGGAAACCATCTCTTGACATGTCGGGAAAGGCCCAATTCAGTTCCAAGAACCAAAAAGTCTCACCTCTGCTGAGCAGTTTCGCAAAAAAAACAAAATCCGGACATGTTGTAAAATCTGAGCGGACTTGAAAAAACGTCACGCTCTGGACATCTTATTTATCATCAAGATGGTCTTCCCGCCAAGTATCAAACCCCCCATGGTTGTCTGATTGTAATGGAAAGCTAAACAAAACAACCACACACATTCTCTGTGGGTTTTTCAATTTTGGTTGAGACATGTTTCAACGCAATTGTTTGAACACGCCTCCTTTGGTCCTAGGACCCCCCAAAAAACGCGCCTCCGGGCCCCCCCGCCCGCCACTTGGAGGGCCCCTTGCCCGCGCAGGCGCAGACCCTGTCTCGCATGGGGTCCTATCCGGGCAGCTACGGAGCCCGGGAGGGGCGTGGATGGGACCTACCAAGACTAAGTAGGCTGGTATTCACAGGGTTTATGTCTTGTTTGTTCTTTTGTTCTATGATTGTCCGGCTTTTCATACTTGGCTGAATAGGGCCGACCTGCTTTGGTTTCTCATCTGATTCCATTCAACTCCATTGGCCAAAAAGTCTAGGTCCCCCAGTAGAGAGGTTAGAATAAAGTTGTTTCTTTTTTGTCTATTTCAGGGGAACCCTCCCAACCAAAGGGTACAATGGCACTGGGGGACCTAGGTATTCAAAGATTTATGCTTGTTGTCCCCAGGTCCTGCTGGTGTTGGGCTGGTGGACACCATGTGAGAACTATGCGATGCAAGCCGCAGACCCGTTTCTGAGAAGAGCAAAATGGCCTGGCTTGATGCCCCACCCTTTATGTGCATATAGTTTGGAGGAACCTCATGTGAGGCTCCCTTTTACGCAGCCAATGATTTTACTAACGCTTCCTGTAGTAGGCCATATGGAAGCAACCCCAGTTTCTAACTCCGCCCAAAGCCAGAGTATTAGACACTGCTTATTCGCTCATAAGAATTGACGTGGATCGAGGTGTCAGGTTGAATTGCAGGGGAGGCGTGATTGGGATGTATCGAAGGCCATCTTGCAGACTCTGAACATGCCTGCGGAAAACTGCCCAAAATCTGCGATACAATACGGATGGTTCCCTACACATTGGAAGTGGGGAACAACGGAAACCCGGTAAATCACCGGAATTTGCCAGGGTTTTGTGGTTGGACGGGCTTGGTTCGCTTGCAACTATGGTTGTGGAAAGTTTGCCTTTGCGATACCCAAAGTGGTTGATTTCCCTACCTTATCATGCAGGGTATTCCTTTCATACCACAAACAGTGGTTGATTCCAAACAGACTTGCCCCGGCTTCCTATGCGCTGAGATCCCGAGAGTGGCCTCGATCCGAGGCCTCCTCTTCGGAGCCGTTTCCGGCTCAAAATGGGATATCGTCAAAGTAATCCGGTTTTCCTTCGCAAAACCACGGGGACCCTAGCAACTATAAGATTATAAGGAATATCCTGAACAACCCAAGGGCATCCCTGACAATCGAGGAATATCTACAGCACAAGGGCATCTAACATGAAGCAATAATCCAGTCTAAACAAAGAGAAGGGTTTCAGGACTCCAGGGAAATAATGTGTCAATGTGTTTATGGTTTAACTTTTCTGTAAACTTTACATTTATTCTAAAACATGCCAGCGGACTGTTCACCGCACCTTCGAAATTGCATGTTTTTTACAACCCTTGAATGGCAGGCGTGGGCCTCGGTAAACATGGTGCACGCCCTAGACATTTTTATCAGGACAAAATGCGCAAACGCAAAGCAACTTAGCCACTGCGCGAACACACGCCTGCTTTGCTCAAAATGTTGGAATAGCAAAAGGAATTTACTCAAAAATAGAACGCCACGCACTCGTGAGGATCCTGGTGCAAAGCGTCAAGCTCGGAGCCCGAGCATGCGAAAAGAAACTTCACGTCTTCGTGTTAGCAACCATGGCCCGAAACTTGAAGCAGCAAACCATGTGCAAGTGGATGGACGATCGCTTCTACATGGGCCATAGTGTCTCGCATGAGGAGACATTCTGTGTTTCTGCGTGTGTTGCGTGTGGATGAGCACGCGTGCCTGAGGGTGATGCCTGTGGCCAACCTGTCTGCGCTGAGCTGTGCTGTGGGTGTGCGCAACTATCCGGGAGAAGATACCCACTGTGCTAGCAGTCTCTATGGCCCTGGATCTGTTTCTGGCAAGAACTTGATCTGATGGATTCGATTGTACTGGAAGTCCCTGACTCGTTGATTGTTGTTATAACTACACGCAGCAAGCTGTTGTCTATGGCGAGTGTAACGGGTACGCTCTATCTAGAAAAGAAGGGCCTTGAGGCACAAATTGATGTAATTTTGACACACATGGTTGCCGGATGGTCAATGGTCTGCACAACGCAGGACAAACATGTCCGTGTGTTCGCAACTATCAGGGTGTATGAAAACCATCTCCACGCCCCACCACCCCCCCGAACAGATTGCCGTGCCACATCGACTCAAAAACGCAGTTTTGCAGGCACTGTTTCGCCGTCCGTCCGCTAAAACATGGATCCTCAGGCGTGGACATGATAGCATTTACGTCAACCTGCCACTTTTAAGCGAGTTTGCTTTCTGCTCCCCTGACAAACGTTTAACTTTTAGTGGTTTAATGGAAAACCCATGAGTTGGAAAAAAGTTTAAGTCCTAACATCCAAGCAAAATGCACCAAATTGATTTCATCATTGCCACGTTCGTGGCCAATCCCTCGTTGTTTAAGCCCCTGGATCGGTGAGCTCGGCAGAAACAGCGCAGACTTCATGCGAACTTTGTGCCGGGTCCTGTTCACTTGCGCAGCGCGGGCAGCCGCAAATGAAACCTCGAAAGAGCACTTTGGAGTCTATTGCCAAATTGTGGAGATCAGTTTGCCGGGAAACGAACATCTATACCGAGAAATTCTAGCTTTGAGCTCCAAAGTGTTCTCGCAAAGGATGTTCTATCCCGAGTGTGGCACAAAGAAAATCTACACTTGACCTCTGAGTTTGGCCATACCTGGATGTCTCAGAGCATGAGAGTTCACTCCGCGGCTTAAACGCGGCCGTCACTGCAGCTACCAAATGATTCCTGTATGTTCAGTGTTCAAAAACAAAACCGCAAGCTATGCATTGAAGCGCTGCACATCGGCTGCGTATGCCCCTCCCAGTCAGGCGCGCGCAGTCAAGCAAAAGTGATCTGGAACACCTCTGTTTCGTGGTTTATTGAACCTGAAGGGGCGTTGCCGGAAAATTTGGATCTTTGGTTCCAGCTCGATCGCCAGGGCCAGGTTGCAAGGTTGTGAGATGTGGGTGTGGCTCAAAATTAAACAGGAGGGGCAAACCGCAGGCTTTTGTCCCTGGAAACCACTTACCGATCGGGCAAGCATTTTGGAATTCCGGTTTGTTGAGCCACAGTGTGAGCATTCCTCACTTCAACTGACGGGCCTTCTCAAGGAGGCCAATCTTCAGAATCGGTGTCAGGTATCTCAGCGGGAAGCAGCCCCCCTCTCTGAGTCAGGGATACCAAACAAAAACATCGACAAGACTGGCAAACACAGAAGGTTTGATCCGATCGGACCTCCCAGGGTACCAAACTCCAAACTCCCCAACTGGAAGAAAAAGGTAGGGTCACCATCTACCATAGATGTTGTGCCTCGTACACGAAAAGGGACTTTGTTTGATTGAAAATTGCAAACCCCCAGAAAGAATTTCGGAGCACTTTGGGTTTTAATTGCGAATCACCTGTTGCTCATCTCACTTCCTGAGTGGTAGTCCAAACCCAAAAAGTGGCTCAAGTCTATGAACTGTCGTTCTACTTCATTTGGGTTTGGGTGAACTCCTGGTGAGTCTTGGCTGGTCGCCGCCAAAAAGCATTTGGAGCGCCAGAGCAGCCACTGGCGCTGGGCAGTGGGCAGCAGCAACTCTTCGCCCAGGTAGGAGATGGTGATCTCCTGACCGACGGAGACCGAACCGATCCGTCGGTGGCGCGGCCGGATGGGTCCACAAAGGGAGGTGCTGGTTTTTTGGGGGTAGGCGCCTCTCTCGTTTTTTTTGGGGGGGGAGGGGGCCTACGCCCCTCCCAAAAAATGTGGGAAGAAAACAGCCACCACTGCCAAAAAGAATCAAAGAAGAAAACAGTCGCCACGGGAGGTTTGGGTAGGAACAAACAGGTATCTTCTACAGGCACATCGCCCAACCGCCAAAAACCTCGATTTGGTGTGCCCATGTAGAGACACGCCCCTCAGACCCCTGTTGGAAGAGGGGCTGGGCGATTTTAACCCCATGTTCAACCGATTCAACCCCGTGCTTTTGAAGGATTTCCTGGTTCCCCGTCAAAAGGGGCCCAGGGTTAAGTAGTGGTTTAAACAAAAGCTTCCCGTCAGGAATAATAGACCTCAAGTGAGCAGAGTTTTTGTTTGGGTACATAAAAAGGGGAACTCCGCGGAACCTTCGCGAGCCTACGCGAGCTGCATTTTTGCAGGGTTTCAGCCTACGCGGAGGCAGTTCCTACGCAAAAAGCCTTCGCGGCCTACGCGGCGTATGCGGACTGCGCAGCCACCCTATTGCAGCCTACTCGGCTCCGGGCGCTACAAAGAAAACTCTGCTCAATGTGGATCTCCATGGGGAAAGGGGCACTCTTCTTTAGGGACCCTCCCCCCCCCCGGCCCTCACAAAATGGTTAAAAAGAGGTCTGGGAAAAGGAACTGCTTGCCCCCACAGTTCTCTGCCCCCTTCAACCAAAAAAGAGGCCAAAACGTTTAGAACTGGGTTACTTCTCTATAGGCGCTTCTCAGAACGGGCCCCTTTGGTATGTGAAGGAAACCAAAAGAAGACCATCGCCATTTCGAGGGACCGATTCGATTGAAGAAACCCCCCAAATTCTTGTTTGAGGCTACTCTGGGAGGTGGTTCAAGGAACACCCAAAGCCATTCTTCTCAGGATTCGCCCCGAAAATCCTCATATCGCTCTCGAGCCTCTCCCGCGCTGATGGGATGCAAGCTGCGGAGGCCCCAGCGGTTGCCCGCTGCGAAGAAGACGCAGTTGGGCGCGCAGCTGTGGTTGATGCGACCTCTCGAGAACGCCAACCTCCATTGCTTTTTCGTCCCCTGGAAAAAATAAACACAATTCCAGTAGTGATAGATTCTCTTTAAAACCAACAGGGGAAATTATAAAATATTCTTAACCAAATGGAAGCCAAGAAACCAAGATGGGCCTTGGTTTTTTTGTGTGAAGACCTACGGGGCTGGCTTCCTATCTAGTTTTCAAAACCCCAAGCCACCAATCCAAGCCACCAACTAAGGGTTATCTGACAATATAAAGTCCTACATAGTTCAAACAGTTCAGAAAACAGTCAATAACCTGGCCAGCAACAGCAATGAATCAACAACAAATAATAGCAGGGGGAGCCTAAATTGGTGGCACTCCCCTATGCCAAGCCAAATCTATGTGCATGATTACAGCTAAATGTATCACACGTAGACCTCTATGTGTACAATATAGGTGTATATATGCAGACTTGTCGCAGCTCACTTCCAGTCGAGAAGCTCAGTGTCCAGAACACGCGGCCGCCAGGGAAAATGTTCCTCAGAATGGCAATGGGCATCAACGCCATATATTGTCGGGGCAAACTATTGGGATTCGCCCATCGAAGATGAGCGATGTATATGAAAGAACCCTCATTACGCGTGACCTCGCAAACGCCCCTAGTGACGTCGTCATCATTTGCCCAGGTGACAGAGTCCAAGCACATCGCATGGGGCACTAGGCTCCACCAAGGAACTGCCTTTTTTGGTGACAAGTGCGTGCACACGGAGCCTCGCTAATTATGCCGAAACCCATGGGCTGCCGAGCTTCATCTCCTGCACCAAGATCCCAACCTGCAGCAGCTTCACATCCATCTCCTGGTGTCGAACGTGATTCCCTCGGCAGCAAAGGAATCTGAAGCCGTTGCAACCCGAACCGCCCGAACCGCAGAGGAAGAAGCGAAACACATCCTCTTTTCGGGGGTCGGGTCTCGCACTTGTCCGCAAAGGACCAGCGCAACGAGCATTGCAACCCATCCTGCTAGAAACGGGAACCCATCTTGTCAAAACTGTGACAGCAAAAAGCCAGAGTTCGATGACTTGGGACATGGGAACGAATCCATGTGCGAGCCCTGCCCAGATAGGCCCCTTTCGACCAAAGGAACATGGCTCTGGCTGAGAGGTCAAAACGCCGATCGAGTGACAGGCAGCTTGAATGGGGGTGGGATGTCTTGACATGCAGTCTTATCATCTTGAATGTTGCTCTTGCCGATTGGTCGTTACCATAAAATACCTAGTTAAAATGCATAACATCTCAAAACGCTAGAAAGTCGTTCAGATAGCATCTGTATATGTACGCACAAAGATATGTATATTCACATTTACCGCTTTGTTGCATGTTTTTCTTGAATACGAGACATTTGCACGAACTCATTCTTGAGGAGAACTCTTAGATTCGACGTCCCTGTGTGATCTCTTGCAGTTCAAACTGCGAATGATGATTGATAGTCTGGTCACAAGGGATTGCATGAGCAACATGGCAGCGCGTATTCAAACACAAGACGCATATCAATGTTAGATTCAGAATAATGCTCTTTCGCCATTCATATTTTCTTGGCTGTAAGAACTTCGTCCTCCAAGTGCTTAGCCAAGCATGCTAACGCCTCTCACACGACATGCCACAGTGCAATTCTATAAAGTTGCCACATATGAAACGACAAAACATAATACAAGTATCTGCATCTCTCGTCACGCCCGTGTCTTCGCCCGGTCGCCTCCAGGGCAAACACCTTGCATATACGTGTCGTTTTTTTGATGGTACCCTGTGGGGTGTTCAAGGGAAACCACAAGGAACACCGCCATTTAGGGACCCGGGTCCCTCAAAAGAATAAAACACCCATACGGTGGATGGACAAAGTCAATTTCGCACCACCTAAGAAGCCCTGGAATGAGGATTCCTCCGTAAATACCAACAAGCAATGGTTTGCCATGATTTCAAAGTGGTGCAGGATTTCGTCCATCCACAATATTGGCTGAGTTATTCCTTGGCAATCATTGACTAATAGTACTGGCTATAGCCACTCGTCTGCAAACTCAGCAGCATCATGTGCTTTCATTGTAAGGCTTCTCGTCCAAGTCATTGTTTACAGATGATCATAATGTCAAAATGAGGCGAACAAGAAACAAAGGTGGGTGATATGTGTTCCTATCACAACATTGCTGAATTACTATGTTTAAGACCTTTCCGCTGGCTCAATTTGCATTTGTGCTCCAAGACCTCTTATTTTTTAGAGGACCCGCAAATAACGGACGGACTAACAAAAATGGATGAATTCTCGAATCATAAAGTCGTTGACTGTACATGAGCCGTCAAAACACATAGAACTATAAACAAGCAGAACATCCTTAGCCGACTGACCGTCATGAGTAGATGCTGCATACATAGGGATCCAGTGCTTCCAAGTTTTGAAATATGATGTAATATGATAGGCAAATTGTAACAATCGGCAAGCGAAAGTGAGACACTCCCAAAGGAACCTAAAGTGTTCCACAACCTCATCCAAGTATCGAGGCGGGCATGGCTGTGTACCTTGTGAGACATGTGCATGAATTCAGATTGGGTGCACTTTATTGTTTACTGGAGCATTTAGGCGGGGATCTATGTCCACGAATTTCCCAAGAAAATGCATGGCCACATCCGATTCCAGAATTTACGAGACCCCGCCCCAAGAAAAAAGTGGCTTCGGCTTCCCCTTTGGTTTGCCACAAGAAGGGGCTCAAAAAAGCCCACCCATAGTTCCCTTTTCCACCCACCAAAGCAGGGGAAACGACACTTCAGCACCATTTGGCAAAGAACGCCTTCGTAGGAAGACGGCAAGCGTTGGACTGCCGCCATCCGCCCCAAGCGTCCAAGGCACGGGGAGAGCGAAAGAGATAACCTCCAAACAACGCCACCCATGCTTTCCCTTTACACCCATAGACACAGGGGAAACCACCGCCCGCGCCTTGCACTCGGGCAGCCGCTCTTTGCACAGCTCCGCCAGCTGCCGTGCCACGTCCACCAGCCTAACGAGCCGAATCAGCCACGTGGGTGTGGTGCGGTGCGTGGCGCGGATGGGGCAGCCGAAGGAAGACCCGGCTTCAGATCCGAAGATCAGCTCCAAGTCTTGCTGGCCCAAGGTGGGCTTCAGAATATCGACTCCAAGTTTTGCACCCAAGTGTTGCGACCAAAGCAGCAAATCCACGGTATTTGCATATTGTCCCTGGTTGTTTTACTAAGTATGAATAGAATAAAAGCAACCCGTTGGCAAAGCAATATAAAATGTCTACGCCGTGCGATTCGTCCTCAACAAAAAACCGCCAAATCCCCAACCCAACGCCTCATGCGTCGCCGCCGGAGGTCCGAACCCGGCAGTTGCGGAAGTCAACGAGCCAAAACCGCAAAAGGCTTCTGGCAGCTTGGGATTGTTTGAACCACCGAACAAATCGGAAAAATCGCAAAACAAAAATCGGAAAAAGGGCACTTCGAAAGGGGCCAGACAAGGGGGAAAGTTTTTGCTCTTGATTCATCTGGGGTTACAATGCCCTTTGCTTTCCTTCGAACCGAGACCCGCCATTACCCTTGTTGTCGGGTCGGGTGCCCTAAGGAGGGAACACCAGCGAGAATCCTGCGGTGGATGGAACAAATCCGGGGGTCAGTGGGAGGTTTGTCCCGGGCTTGTGCTCCTTGCAGGAAAGAAGTGCCCATCCACACTTTTAAAGCCTCATTCAGTGTCATTAGCTCCCAGGATTCGGGCACCCTTTTGTGGGGAGCCATTCTCAAAAAAAACAACAAACAAACCTACGAGTCAGTCATCCCCCTCACTCATCCCCCCCCCCGTAAAAACGAAAACACACATAGTCACTGAGTCACTCATCTTCCCTGCCCCCCTTCCGGTATCCCCCCCCTTCGTGTACCCCCCCTCCGCCGGGGAATTGTTCCCCCCGCGGAGCGCCGCAGCGAGTCGGAGTCCACTTGGCGAGCGGCGGGTGGGGATCCTCGGGGTGCGGGAAGCTGAAGCCCAGCAGCGCGCCTCGAGCGAGCCGCGCAAGCGCGACCGGGGGGAAGCGAAACCCGCCGCCCCCTTTGAAGGCCACGGACCTGGGAAAAGGCGCGCCAGAAAACGGGAAACACGTGCCAAACAACGGGAAAGACGGGCCAAAAAAAAAGAAGACAACGGATAAGAACCATCCTGGAAAAGGGGGGAATTAAGATGTCTTTCAGATTCTGGGGTGCCAAATAAGCCTGGAGAAAGTCAAACTCAGTTCAGTTACTGTGGGCCAGTGGTAACTGGAAGCACTGGGAAAGGATGCTAAAACCTGAATAGGCCAATGGCAGTTTGCCTTGTGGCTTTCCTTCAAGCCAAACAAGTGGACCCTCCAGAAGCCACTTCGAGTGTCTCGGGAAGGCTTGCCCTTCAAAGACCAAAGGGGTTGCCGAAGCTGGTGTTCAAACGAAGGACGGCAAAGGTTCGAAGGAAAAACCTAATGTCGGGGAAAGGATTTTGGGGTCTGGGTGAACCCTTTTTGCATGGCTTAGCAAAGCACCTGGAGGGGGCCTCTAGTTTGGATAAACGCCATGGGGAAACATGTGACACCCACAAGAAATCAACCATGTTACACACATGTTTCAACAACTTGTGGCTTTAAGGGACATCTGACGCCTCGTTCAATGGCTAATAGCTTCCTTATATGGGGAACCGCCCCAAAGCACAGGGAATCCCTTAAAAACCACCCCGCAAAAGGGTACCCTCAAAAACAGATACACCCATTTACATTTGGTCCAACCGTCAACCCACCAGGGCTTTCCTAACCCATCCAGGTACTCAAGAAACCCTTTCAACACTGAATGGACAATGGCGATTTGGGTTACCTATAGTGGCTTGCCTAGGACCCACTAGGCAACCACACGTTCTTGGCCCAAGAGATACACCAGCTTTCAAGAGCAACCAACATTTCAAATAAACTGCTTGATCCATTTTGGGGGGCTCCAAATCCTGATTGTAGAAAAGGACCCATATGGGTGTGTTTTTTTTTGGGAGCGCCCCGCTCCAAAATGGTGGCATTCCTTCCGGTCTCTTTTGAAACCAATCATGGAGAAAAACTGAGCTTAGTATCAAAGAAACAAGTGAGTACCACCACAAATGGGACCCCCCCCCCCGAAAAAACAAGAAACATATTTAATGGAGTAGCCCAAAATGGAGGTCTTTTGGTTTCCCTTTAAAACCACCAAACATGGAGGTGCCAACTGAAGAAAAAAAAACAGACCCCCCAAAAAAAAGAAGGGGGCACTACCACCCCCCAACAAAAAAAGTAAAATAAAAATGGAGTACCACCACGCACACACCAAACAAAACAACACATGGAGTACCAAAAAAAACACCGACAACCGCCCCATGGAGTACTCAACAAAAAAACACATTGAGTACTCAAAAATGGAGAACCACCCCCCCTCCCCCTCCCACAAAAAATGGAGTACCCCAAGAGCCGTACCAACTAAAAAAAAAGGAACCGACGACCCCCCCCCCTCCCCCATTCGCTGGAGTCGCTCCGCAAACTCTCCGGCAGCGTGGCGAAGCCCAAGACATCCCGCACCAGCGCAGTGCTGGCCTGGGGGGCCGGGGTGACGGTGTCCGGCTTCCCAGACACTTGGTGTCCAACAAATCGACAAGAACTATAGTTGGTTTGGTTTGGTGACTGGTGGCTTGGTGCATGACCCATGTGGGTTTGGGTTGGTTGGTTTCCAATTGAGGGAAACAAAAAGGACAACCAGAAAGCTTCAGAGGTTCTGGCCAAACGAACGTGGACACGGAAACCAAAGCAATGGTGTTGCGGTTTCCAGCAGCCAACAAGAACCAGTTGATTTGGTTGGTTTGGTTCATGCCCCATGTGGGTTTGGTTTGGGGTGTTGGTGGTTTTGGGTATTGGTGGTTTGGAGCTTTGGAGGCTTAGTGGTTTGGAGGCTTGGAGGTTTGGTGGCTAGGGGTGGTTACCATGTGTGTGACCAATTGATTCGAGATTCGAAAAGCCTCCGGCCGAGCTCAGGCGGAGGTGCTTCTTGTTTTGAGGGAAACCAAAGGACAACCAGAAAGCTTCAGAGGTTCTCGCCGAACGAATGCGGAAACCAAAGCAATGGTGAGTGTGTTGAACCAGTTCGGAACCCTTCTGGTGCAATCCCCGCTTTCGATGTTCCGAAAAGCGAAGGCCCTATTGAGATTTGCAGTGATGTAGAATGCATCATTGTTGGTCTACTTGGGGAGGAGACAGTAAGTCGGGCAACCATCAGTCCTCACAAGAACCAAGGAGACGGGCCCCAATAATTGTCATGTCCTCTTGGGGAACAGCGAAAAACTGTAGTCTATTTTAATAGGGGAACCGTCCCCCAAAAAAAGGTGGGGCCTAGCATTGGGCTGGGAAATCGCAACTAACTATTCTGGTTGACTATTTACACACCAACGTTTGGAGCTGATCCCCAAACGCGAAACCATAGCCTGGCAATCCATTGAACCCTGAAAGATACCCGAGCAACGCTAGGATGGACGAGGCCTGCCTTTACTAAGGCGGCAACTATTCCTCACTTGCATTCAAGGGTATTGAATGGACCTCAACTGCTGGGTAGGCTTTATAGGTGTATACAGGCCTCAGTCAGAACCACCTAACCTAAAGTGGCCGATAGGAATCGGAATGGGCTGGGCGCTGCTCAACTGAGGTGGTTCGCGAACCCCGCAAGGTTCGCAGTCAGGGTAAAAGGAAGCAGATCATTTAAAATGGGGCCGGGGCATGGGCTGGACAAGTGGTGAAGGGGCTTGGGCATGGGCTACGCGTTAGCCGGCTTGTAAAAAACAAACGCCACGGCACGCGCAAAGAGAGCATGCCAGCGTCGTTGCTTGGAGCGCGGCTGTAGCTGCTCATGCTGGAGTTAGCCCATGTCCTATGCTCCATCGGCGGCAACGCTTTGCCGTGTGTTAGGACCGAAGCTGCCAAAACACGATAAACAGCTGGCCGTGATAATCGCTCGCTCGTCATGAAACCAGAACCTATAAAGAAACGCGGCGCGCGGGCCGAGTCAGCAGCGCTGTCTCAGACCTTGATACCCATTTCTGCAAAGGCATTATCACTGCAAGCGCGACAGGTCAACTCTGCTACTTTGGCCGCTACGCGCTACTCTGCGCTCGTCGGGCTTACCGCCGGCCGACGCAACGTGTCGTGCTGGCGAACGGCGACTCGGCAAAGTTTCCTGAGCCAAGTGACCAAGCCTGCAAGCCGGCGGACGTGGCCCTCTGCTGTAGGTGCGGGGCAAATCGCACGTCAGTAGGGCGCCAACCAACGCTGGTCACAAGGCCGCAAGCACGACAGCGCGGGTGAAAAGCTGCAATCTTCGCTGCCTCACAGGGAGTGACGCACGCAGCCTGTCGCAGCGCCAGGACTGCCACAACGCGTCCAAAGTGAAGCAGCGGAAGCGGCATCAATTAAGTCAAGCCTGCGGGCGCACGCGACCCAGTGCGCAGCAATAATTCGGCCGGCAAGCTGCGCACTCGTCTTGGGCGCACCAAGCCGACTAGCCGGCGCTCGGCCAGCTGGCACAGGAAAGCACTGAGCCTGAGCGACGTCGAGCGACCGATCACTGCAAAGCTGGAAGCACAGGGACGCATCTCGTCCACGCGATGCAGCTCCGAGCTGAAAGCAAAGCAAGGGAGCAAATCGCAAGCTTTGGAGCGCTGGCTTGCGAACATAATCGAAAGACGCTCGCAGTGACTTTACAAGCAACGAGCCACTTGCAGTCGTACAACTGGACTCGCGCGACCGCGAGCTGGGCGCGCAAATCACGCAAAGTTGCGGAACGCGTCTGCGGGGCTGGCGTAAGCTGAGCTGCTCACAGTTCCAGCAGTAGGTGGCTCAGGACCATAAAGCGCCCCAACTCAGTAGCTGCTGCTGGCAACATCGTGATTTTTGGCCTGACCTGCCCCCCCAGCTGTCTCCACTTCCTTTGGCATGCATGAGGCCAAATACCACCTGTGGACAAAAAGGGCAAAAGGGCAACACTGACAAGCTAAGGTGTCAACCTATGATAAACAATCCCAACAGTGCTTCGCCAGTTGACACCCCTCCTTGAACCAGCCTCCTCCCCAAGTTCTCCCTTTACTCAAAGGGACCCCCCTTCGCACTGACCCCGACCAGCCGCGGAAGCGGACACCGCCATGTGGTCATGGGTCAAATCCAAATCGTACCCCCAGTGCAATCCTCACTAAAATAGGTTCCACCTACCCCAAAATGGTGCACCTACCCCAAATGGTTCACTAAAACTGGGTGGTGAATTCACTTACCAACCAAAATGGGATCGATACCAAAACGGTTTTGACAACAGCCATGTCTTCCTTCGCACTGACCCCGACCAGCCGCAGCCAGCAAGCGCAAACCTGAAACCGCTGTCCGGAAAAGCCGCGAAGAGGGGCTTCTCCGGCAGCGAGGCGAAGGAGGCGCCCGCTGGCGGCTTCAGCGCCGCTCGGATCTGGTTGAAGGCCGCGGACCAGGCCTCCGACGACTTTTTGGGGGCGACGCCAAGTGGATGGTAAAGGGATGCCCGGTTTGCTTTTTGTTTTTCTACGTAGCGGGTTAGAAAACCCTAAGGAAATGAAAGAAAGGAGCTTCCATGTCCCTTTGGTTTCCCTCCCCAACGTGGCAACTCAAAAAGAAGAGACTCAATTGTCAAACGGAGACTCGGTACAAGAACCTCACTTCCAAAGGGATCCCTCTGTTTCCCCTTTGAACCTCAACCTGTCCAATCCCAATCTAGAGGCTCTCGGCAACCTTTGCCTGCATAACTCAGCCAGCTGTTGCTGGCAGGTGCTTGGAACCTGCAATCCGATCAGGAAACATCCAATCAACTTCATGATCATTTGTTCATCCCTCAAAGCCAGATAACAAAAACACAAGTCCACCTAACACGCAATGACCTTCTGTCGGGCACCAAAGCCTTCCAGAACTTGCAATAATTATTTCACCCTGAACCATTGCACCATATAAGTTGCAGCACCCATAAGTATGGACATACGACTGCAATGTTTGATGGATGGCTGCCCCTCACGTGCTACCGCCACTAGCAAGTAGCAACCCGAAACCAATTCCCGCTCCGTCCGAAAATGATGCCTGGTCCCACTCAGGGCGCCCATGCAGCAAAGAGGGCGGCGGCCGGATGTAGACGGGTTCCTCCTTTCGCAGCTTGACTCGTCTACTTTCACTACTCCCAAACCACTACCCATGAACAAGAAACAAATATGAATTGCATAGCAGGTGTCCAACGGCTTTGCGCAGCCATGCATCCCTGAGTGGCATGATCGCCCTCGAGCAACTCGAACATGATTTCATTCTAGCGCGTTCCTTGACACTATCTGTTTGGGGCTGCGTCTTAGGGGAGGCCCTTGTTGATTGGGTGGTTCGGGTTGGGACTCTGGCTAGAAGGGCCTAAGAAAACAAGAGTTGGATCGTGGGAGACTTTGAGACCAAATTGAGTCATCAATTCTTTAACCCCTCAAATTGAGTCACAACAATGACATCAATTCTTTAACCGATCAAATCTTCCCATAAACATCCCCACCGGTTGAAACCGAAGACACTGCTCCATGCTTGTGAGGGGCTATCGGTTAGAACCTTCGGGTTGAGCTCAAGGCCTTGGACAAGCGGATCGTTTTGAGGCACCCAGTCAAATATGGTAACATGTGCCCTTACGCGACCCAGCCCAGCGGATCCATTTGCCTCTAGTTTGTTCAGGCCACCCTACCTCCTGAAGGAGAAAAAACTGAAGGGATTATTATACGCCGACGTACTCGGGATTATTATACGCCATACTTGGCCCATCTGACGTACTCCAAAAAACATAGTGATTCACTATAGTTCCTATGTATTTAGTCTCAAATAAGATAGAACCCAAATCCCTGGGGCAAAAGCTGACTTGAGTGTCTCTCTCTTGTTGGAACATCCGCCTTTTGGTTGGTACTTCAAGGAAACCAAAAGGACACCCCTCGCCCTTTTAGGGGCATCCTGAAACTCTGCGGTTTTGGAGCGAGCCGCACGGCTACGGAATCACTCGCACTCCTCCAGGAGCATCTCATTGCCCGGCAGGTCGCAGGCTGCAAAGGCCGCCCTCCCCTGCCCTCACGTTGCCAGCGGCGGTGGGGAGACGGTCGACATGGGAATCCGTAGCCTCCAAACTTGGTCGCTGTTGACCCCTCTGCAAAAGGTAAATAACTTTTTGCGGGTTTAATGGAAAAACCCTTGATGTTAAACAAGTTAAAGTCTCAAGATCCAACCCAATAGCACTTCAGCAAATGGGTTCTCAACACATGGGATCTGGACCCCCAAAATGGCCGGGTCTCCAGAAGGGTTTTCCTTTAGGACCGCGAAAAAGGCTGCCCTCAACGGTTTGACTGGACTACATGTTTTCACCTACATCCTCTTTTGAAAGGTGGACTATGTCGGGCTTTCGAAGAATATCAGCTTAGACTCCTGTCCACTTGCATGATTGAAAATCGGGTAAAAACTAGTTACGCCCATACACAGCCATCATGGCAGCCACAGACTCCTACGAAAATGGAAAGAAACAAGCGGCAGGCGCACGCTCTAATCGAGCGCGTACCATCGTCGCAGTTGCTCCATTTCAAATTTGACATAGACACCAACAACATCACTTGCAAAGCAACATCCTTCTGGAGCATTGGAGATTCCTTTGCGGAGTTTTGAAGTAATTTGCAGCGTGCTTTCCAGCTTGATCCTTGGGCAAATGGTGAGCCCCAGCAGCGCCATCAAACAAAAAATCAATTGGTGGGAATGTGTCAAACTTGCGGAACCGAACCATGACGGGTAGCCTGTTGGTTTCTGTACGTCAGAGTCAAACACACACAGGGGATCTTGTAAACACACACCCAAATAACATTCTAGCTGCACAAGAGACTCCTCTTTTCAAAGAATTGGCCAACGCCAAAGGAAGCACACTGGTTATTTCCTTTGAAGAGAAGGATGGGAAAAGACTGGAGCGCCAATTCCGAGTCTGTCAGGATTAAATGGGAGGCCTCCAAATTTGTACAAAGTAGAATTTCCAATCCTCCACCCAACACCCATCCAACCCAATCATCACAGAACCCCTTTCGATCACCCCCTTGCCTTCTGCCTTAGACACCTTTCAATCACCCCCTTGCCTTCCTGCCTTAGACCCCTCCCGCACCTTCCGTCTGTCGGATCTCCAGGGGCCACTGGCGCGGCGTCTCCGCGCAAGGCGTGTGCCCGCAGGAGAACAGGAAGCAGTTGCCCCGCCCGAACTTGCCTCGGAAACGAAAGAAAACAAAACACAAAAACAAAACAAAAAAACACGGCGGGCGCGTCTCTTTTTTTGAGGGTACCCCTTTTTGCTTGCTTTTAAAGGAACATCAAAAGGAAACTCACCATGTTTATGCTACCCCTATTTCAAGACACACCCACGCGGAGGGTTGTGGTTGATTCCGCCGCACGGAAGAAACGCATCAAAGGGCACCTCAAGAAACGGTTTGATGTCCGCTTTGAGTTGGGGTAGATGCGATTGGGCTTTGAACGCCCCAACCCTATTGGGTCGCAGGTTGGAGCCACGTCATCACTCGCTCGAAGTTGCCTCGGGAGTTCCGTAGGGATTGGAACAGGCTAAAAGGCACCTATGACCTCCCAGCGGTCCATCTAACCCGGCACGTTGCCCCTCAAAGAGAACTTATCGGGAGTTTTGCTAGGCATCAACCCCTGCAAACAATTGATGCGTTGGTGGTCGAAAGTCTAAGATGGTTTCCACTGCCACCCTTACCCCGGAGGCTGAATGAGATGTAAAGGCAAAAGATAGCTGCTATAGAAAGGGTATATATCCAGCTTTGCCCTGGTAGTGGTTCGGGGGGTAGTGACAAGAAAGGCAAGGGTTGAAGAAGCTTGGGTGGGGGATATCTACTTGACGGTCACAAATGGACGCTGTCTGGCCAACGCTGCCGTTCGCTCAGCCCCAATGACAGGTGGTGATTAGGTTTGGCCACATCAATCACCATCCATCACGCTATGTGACCTTCAAAAAGAAAGGTTGGCCAATCGTAATGCGTAGCTTTGGCAACCCAAGAGAAGAACTCAGGACTCCCACATCCCGGTTACCACTTTCTTGGTCCCCTTGCTTGTCTACTCCAGTGACTCCATTTACCTTTACAGTCGGTAATCCAGGGAGCCACCATTTAAAAACTAAATCAAACAATGGCAGGTTGCTTACTCTACTGGCAACTGGGATCCCCTGGATACTCTACATGCACATGGAATCATGATGACTCATTGGGATTGGCTCTTCGGTCCAGGGGCGGACGACGAAGCGCACACAGCAGTGTAGACCGTCGCCTAGCACATGGTGAGGGTGACTGCGGGTCTTATGGTTGGAGTCCTGTCCAAACCCCACTGGCTCTAAGAGGGCCCAAGAAGCTCTCGTGTCTATGTTGGTACCTTTTTAGGGGGCAACCCATCGCAATGCCCTGCACAACCAGCAGAGGGCTGGAGGAGCACAATGCCACAACTTGCTGGACTGTGTATATACATATATATATATATACATATATATACATATATATATATATATGTTGTACACACCGTAGAACCTTTAGGCAAGCCATGAATAAGTCCAGGCACAACACCGTGCATTGAAGGCGCATTTATGCATTCCTGTATAATGCCTTGCTAGCGTAAACCATCGTGTTCTTCATGATATGCACACACACACATGCCCAAACGTATATATATATATATATGTACATATACATATATATGTAAATGTATATGTATATGTGTGTACATATATATATATAAGTACACAACATATGGATGCTTGTGCATGTAGGCATATATGTTCAAGTAAACATTCACGTGCATGTGCCTATGTGCATATGCTACATAGACACATATGTCTATATACAGACTCGCGCTGAAAGAAAGTACGATGTGACAACCCTCAAACCGGCACTGGCATGTGCACTATCTGCCCTACTTATCTAGCGCACAGAACATGAAAGTAGCCAACCAGAACAAACCACTGTAGGTTCTCAGAAGGTAATCAACAGGGGCTTTGGGAATCAAGTGGGATTCTCTTACAGCAAGCCACAAGGGTTGGTTCACCAGGGGTCATTCCATCTGCTAATTCTACAATATGTCTAAACCAAAAAGATTCCCAAGTCAAGGACATACACCATGGTGAGATCGCTTTTGCCCTGGAATCGCTCGCCACAAAATACCAGAATTCCAGTTGCTCAGAACCAGCAAAAGCAAACCGCTTGCTCACTTTATATGAGCAGCGCACGAAACCCGAGAACTGTTGGTTCCACTAACATGGCCTCAAAGGTTGATCTAGGGCTTACTATGACCGGTAGGAACCGGTCACCTACCAGAATGGCCCAGTTGGAAAGGCGGGGGGGCTAGGCGCTCAAGTGTTTCCAAACATTCGTGTTCGGGTCCAAAACACGACATCGTTGATCAGTCTCTTTCGCTGTCCAAAAAAAGCCCAGCTGGGGTTGCTGGGTTTTGTGCAGGGTCTTTTTCACTACCCCAAGCTAGAATTCATTAAACCCAGACTCTTGACCTGTCCCTTTTGGGGAAACCCCCCCGCCCGGCTTGAAGCCCCCGGTTTCGGGTTCCGAAAAGAAGCGAGAAACCCCGCGAGTGGGAAGACGGCGCGCTTTGCGCCTGTGACCATTGGCAGAGCCACCTCCTCCCCCTGGAACTGCACCTTCTCGAGCGCCGAGAGGCTCCAAGAGATCCACTCGGGCACCAGCAGCTCCGTCCAGACCTCCCGTCGGGGTTCGGATGATTTGCCAAGGAGTCCGGCTTTGGGGTTGATACTGTGGATGGACGAAATCCATTTCGCACCACTTGGAACCATGGGAAGCCATGGTTGGTTGGTATTTACAGGGGAATCAAAATTCCAGGGGTTTCTTAGGTGGTGCAGGATGTCGCCCATCCACAGTAGGGGAAGCAAACAGACACCCTGCGTTTGTGCGGTGTTGGTACCAACTTTGGGCGGGATGGGGGTATCTTTGCCATGGATGGGATGGGTGTATCTTTGAGGGCACCAACTTTGGGGTTGCTAAACTGGGGGTGGTGACCCTGGCAAAGGACTGGGACAGCTCAAGGAAAGAACCATCCTCGTGGTTTCTTCCCGACCTTCCCGTTAAACCCCTGTTGATTCCCTATCCCTTGTGGACACTTCCCTTGCTAGGGAATACGGCACTGAAACCCAATGGTTGCTCAAGGATTTGTTTGCCAATTCTCTACTACGAACAAGCAAGACTCGGCCTATGTTGCAATCTCCTATTTGGGGTGTTTTTGGGATATTGGGATTTTAGGGCTTGGGTGAAACAAGATGCTTTTCTGCAATCTGCCTCCTAAAAAAAAAAAAAACAACCTAGCGGGGTGATTTCCAAGCAGAAGCCACAGCGGGGTGTGCGAAAGTCCATTGGCCGGATCCCGGCCCTCACCCCCAACGCCCCCCCTTTCCCCTGGTGGCAAAGGGTTGGAAGCTTGTGACCGCCTCAAGTCGACTCAACTCCGTGATTTACAAGCTCTCTCTTGGGCTCTGAGCGACCCAAGGGCTCAAGAGACAACTCCAAAAAGACCCCCTGCAGGTGGGGGGGGGGTTGGGTTGCCCAAAACGAGATACATTCCCCCAAAGCTGGGTGGTTTTGGGGGTCCATGTTGATCTGCAGAAGCTCATACCATAACCAGGTTTCCTCGACCAAAACTACAAACAAAATCAAATCAACATGGTTGCCTTGAACCAAGGGACCCAGAAACAAAAGGATCACCATGGTTAATCTTGGGCCATGACTAAAACTAGACAACCTAGGAACACCAACAGGTCAAAAGGTCGGAGCCCTTTGTTTTGCAAGAGCCCGGCCGGCCTTGCCCACCACATCCTCCGACTTGCGAGCGAGTACCTGTGGTATCAAGCCCCGAAGTTTCGGAAGTCCAGTGGGAAGCGGCAAGGCCCGGGTTGTTCAAAGCGGCCAACTCTTGGAAGAGACACGGCATTGTTGCAACACCCGCTTGAAATGGCATAACATGCAACATGCAACTGATGTCAGATCAATCCCGAAACGGAATATTCGGATCCCTTGAATCAACTGAATTGGAGGGGTCAACAAGCCGCTAGGGGATAGCAAGTCAAAAGATCCAGATACAAACAAACATCAATCCCTTCAGACTATCCGCTAAATGCCTCCGGCAAGTGGATGTTCAACCCAGCTACGTTGAGAAGGAATGGGTGAGGGATAGTTTTCATGGATTTTACCTGACTCCTTGACATGGGCCTTGAGAACATACAAGTCACCCGGCCTCCTCAGCCTTTTTGTTCCAAGTGGTGATGATGCCCTTGTCCTCGCGCGGGGGGAGGGAGGGGCGGGGGGAAGGGGTTCCTGTTCGAAACCCCTGGCTCCAACACCCATTGTTTAAACCAGCAGGGCAAAAGGATTGGGCCCCTTGTTTGAACGTGGTTTAAATCACCTTTAGTTAACACAACCTTCGGTCTGAGTGTTACAAATTTGTTCGACCCTCGGTGACTCGCCGGACTTGGTGTCCACATATTTGGCCATGGTTCAAAACCGTGTTGGGATCCCATTTTGGTGGGTTGGTGAATTCACCACCCATGTTAGAACCTATTTTTGTGGTTGGATTGGGATGTTCACTGGGGATGCGACTTGGGTGTTGACCCATGGCATAGAGCCCAGGTTTCCTCCAAGCAAGGCCTTCCTTTCGGGGGAACAGGAGGAGCGAGCTATGGCTGTGACAAAATTGCAGCGGATCAGCCTGCAAGTCTCAGTGTTCTACATCCGCCACACCCGTACTGACATCCGCAAAAAAATGCCCTCATGGTGGGCTAAAGGGAACATCATCAAGCAGAATCTTGAGACCCCCTCAGAATGCAACTACTTTAAGAGATCCTTATGTTGAGACTCTTGCCTTTCGACACCTGCGAAAAGGCTCAAACAGCACGTTGCGACAGCTTGGGGCGATCAAGCCGGCAAGCCAGAGGAAGCAACACCCTGCGCCAAGTGAGGCAAAATATTATCCAAAAGGGGATCCCCAGTTTTTTGGACACCACAATATGGCTGTGGCTCAAACAAATGTACCTAAAATGACCCCTAGGAAGGTGGAGGTAAATGGAACTAAGACCAACACCTGCGTAACCCTAGCTCTTAAATGTTGAGCCACACCCATAAGAGTAGCTGACAAAAGTGCCACATCAAAGCAATGGGAAACCAAACAAAAAGCACCACAAACTGATAATGATCCTAGTCATACCGTTGCTATGGTCATCCTTCCAAATTGCAAAAATTTGCTTGTCACCTGCCAGCCACCCCAGAAAAAAAGAAAAGAAAAGCAAATAAGGTCAAGGATCAGCTGAACTCTGGAACCCCCGTTTTGGGAGACCCCGAAGCTTTTCGCTGGGAAAGACATTTTGCCATGGGTCAAAATCAAAATCTTACCCCGAGTGAAGATCCCAATCCCCACTATAGACTAAAATGGGTGGTGAATTCACCTACCCCAAAATGGGATCCCAAAACGGTGTTCACTAAAATCGGCTCTAAAATGGGTGGTGAATTCACATGCCAACCAAAATGGGATCCCAAAACGGTTTTGACAACCAGAGCCACATGGAGCTCCTTGTAGGAGAAGGACAGCTGGGCCCAGGTCCGCCTCGGACTCCACCGAGGCGCAAAAGCTATGTTCTAGGGGTGCCTGGCCCATTTCCATTTTTGCCAGGGATCCGAACCTTTTCAGGATACCATCCAAAAACCCAGGGAACAAAACAAAAAAAACGCATCCGGTTTTTCATTTAAGAACGATGCTTCAAAAGAATGGTTGGAATCAACCTGTGGATACGTGGGTACCCGAGAAACACTTTGTGGTTGTGGCTCCAAACTGGGGTTAAGGGAACCGAACGGGCACGGTTTCCTTTGGGCTTTTCGAAGTTCAACAACAAAAAAGCAACAACAAACAGGCCAGCTGATATGCATCATCCAACAGCCTTCACTGCAACCTTTCCGGAACCCCAAACCCAGTACCTAACCCGGAGCGGCTCCAAACAAGTCCAGAGCCTAATTGCCAGGTTTCTTATGTGGTGCAGGACTTTGTCCATCCACAGTATTGCTGCCAAAAACTGCGCATAGACTCCTAGCAAGAGACTGCCGCATAGACTCCCCCACCAGAAACTTTCTGAAGTGAGGACTTCCAGTCGCGATTCCTGTGCCACAAGAAATAACAACTGCTGGCGGGTCATGACCCTTTCCTGCTTGAAAAGTCACAAGAAACAGCATAAGCTGCAAGTGCAAGAGAGAATTCGGTGAAACAATCACGAGTTTTGTGCTGGTCGATTTGGGAGAGATTACCCCACCAAAATGAAACAATGGCTCATAATCTCCCAGCCCCCGGTTACAAACAATTTAAAAAAACAATTGCGGTCTGCAGCTCCTCGGTAATCACATACCAAACCTAGCTGCTGATGCCTAGAGCAACGAACCACTCATTGCAAACGATCATCGTCGGTGGTCTTCATACCTTGAAGGCCACTAGACCCTCCCTAGCCCCCCTGGCTCTGGGTTCTTCCAAACAAGGACAAGGCCTTAAAAACTGGCCTCATGAGTTTACCATGATCAAAGTCACCCCCGAAGCGGTGAGTAAAAGGGAAATAACAATATGTTCTGACTTTGATCACCCCCAGAAACCGTCAAAATAATGACCCCAGCAGAAGCCAGCCGAGTTGACGCTTCAAGGTGCTCCACTGTGCCCTTGTCCAGGGGCATGTTGCCACCATCGCATGGGCAAAAGCGCAACAGCCGGGGGGGGTTTGGCCCTGGTGTCAAACAATCGGGTTGCACTTGGACCCCAGGCTAAGCTTCTTGGGAGCACACAGCCATGGTCCAAGACTTTAAAGAAACCAAAGGCCAACCAAAGAACTTTCAAATAGGAGTTGTCTTTACACAGTCTCTCCGCTCAATTGGCAACTGAATGTGTCAAGTCGACATCAAGTTTGAGAAAACAGGCAACTCATCAATTTGTGCAACAGTTGGCAGGGCAACATAGTTTCACAGCTCCACTCGAAAAACCGCTCCCATCATGCGTTGAACAATGCCAGCTGAGTGAAGTTTTTGGAAACTCAGCCTTGGCTCTTCTCCCAAAACGCGAGGTCTAAACCACCCGAAAAGGAACACCCAAAGCGAATGGGAGTTCCTGAATGGGAGTTCCCTTTAGTTTTCCCTGCAAAGGCCCAAATAGGGTACCCAGAAAAGCCACTCATCTAGCAAACAGGGAAATCGCCACAGGCCATGACACACCACCTAGACTAGGTCCTCCAGTGGAGAGGTTAGAATAAGGGTACCTTTTTTTTTTCTTCGGTAGTCTAGTTTAGTAGCGGAACCCTCCCCCAAAGAGGTGAGAGGTCGGGCACTACTGGGGGACCTCGAGGTAAAAATACAAACTTCTTGCCACTGGAAGCACTGGAAACCAATCGAGCCAGCGCATGGGCTCCCTCGGCCAAGCCCTAAGCTGTGAGCCAGCAAGCCAGGGAAAGGCAATGCCTCAAGCTAGTTGGGTGTGTCTTAACACCGGGGACGGCCCCAAAAATGTGGCTTTCCATGTTTAGCTTTCCTGTAAGCATGCAAAAAAAGGGGGTCCCCCCACAAAAAACGACACCCATGTGAAAGTGGTTCCTTTCTGTTTAGGGTCCCCTTTCCAGGGTTGCTTTGGGAAAACCAAGAAAAAAAACACCTGTTTTACACTCTCTACAGATGGCTCCGCTGGAGACATCTACCATCCACAGGGATCCGGATGCATTGTACACCTGAACATTGCCTTGTAAATGGTGGTTTCACTCAACATGATTCAAAATGGTTGCAAAACGTATTTTAAGGAGGCCTGTACCATAAGGCAAGTTAGAAACTGGCCGCCTGGCAGAAACGGTCGAAACCCGAAACGTCGAGCAAGAGAGGCGGATGCTCACTTTCACCATGCTCAACTAGGTCTGTAGTCTATTTTAGTAGGGGAACCCTCCCCCAAAAAAAGGGGTGAGAAAGTGCACTACTGGGGGACCTGGTCTAAGAGATGCAATGTTTCAGCTGGGGATCCATCCACACGATTCACCTAATTCAATCAAGGGGGCCCTACAATGCGTGATCACGTGTGAGGCCTTTTCTTGCGGTGCAAGCTATCCGAGGCTGTCACGGTCTCCATGTTGGTTTAACCCCAAAGGGCCAAACAAAACAGCACTGGTGTAGGCAGAATTAGCAAGTGGTTTCTCTCTCAGAAACGAGGGAGGAATGTCCAGTTGGATTGGAAGCTTTCTCTCTCAGAAACGATTCAGGAATGTCCAGTTGGATTAGAAGCTCAAGTTGGCACGCCGGAGAATTGATGCACGGCTGTGGGGCAAAAATATGTACCTTTAAAATGGACCCCTGGTAAGTGGAAACGTGGTCCAAAACCTGCGGTCCAATTCCTGGTGGTTTAACAGGGATCCTCACATTATACACCTGAACATTGCCTGTAAATGGTGGTGTCCCTTTCAACTGGGCAAAACGTATCGTTTAAGGAGCCCTGTTTAATTTGACCCATACCCGCACCTTTTTGTTCCTATCGCTATCGCTCCAGCAGGCTCGCGTTGGTGACCACGGTGACCCATGGGGTGTTGATGTGCACGGGCGTCTCAGAGCGCGCCCGGGTCTTCACATCCCAAATGTTGTAGTTGCAGCCCGCCTCAGGCAGCCAGTCCAGTTGAACGAGAATGGAGCCTTCGTCGAGCCAAGCAAGCTTTGCGTTCAAAACCATGTGGTATGAGGCCAAAGGGCTTTGTTGACAAGGGCCCCTTTGACGATATACCACCGGATGGCTGTACGTGAAACCAAAGGTAAACTAGCCAAGGAAAGCTTTAACAGGCCCCACCTCCGGAGTGGCTTGGGTTGGGTCGCGTTTGTATAGCCCAGTGTGACCATTGTAGGCCCCACCCCTATTCTGACTACACTGATCCGCCAACTCCCCTGCCTTGTTCTCAAAGCGAAGGT